GATCAATATTAAATTTCCAAAGGGTGATCATTGTATTGAAAGTATGATAGCCAGTGCCATTCATTGTTCTGAGCAAATCGTTCTGAAGGATTTAGGGTGATATCTGCAAACACGACAGATAGAAACCGACAGAGAGCAGATATGGCAAAATTGGTGAATGTAAGTGAAGGCTATAGGGGTTGTTCCATAGGTTTGGAAAAAAAAAAGAGTTGAAAATTTAAAAAACAACAGACAAGAGCTTCCGTGGCTGTCAGTGAATTTCCTTGTGAACACTACTTCTTCCTGAACAGATACTAGATGGGATTAAGAGGTAATTAATCACTGAGGGCTACGCCTGCAGTCCTGTGGACAGCCTGCCTGCCTTAGATCAGTATTTTTCCAATTAGCATGTCTCCTTGGCTCCGGTTTTGTTATAATTTAAATACAAACCTACTCCTGTGCAAAGCATGATAGACATCCTTAATCACCTCTCCAGCCACCTCCAGCTTTTCATTAAAAAAAAAAAAATTGGCTAATTTTTCTCATAAAGAGGGAAGTCTGATCATCAGCAAGTAAGTTAATTCCTACTAAATATGAAACACTGACTCTCACTTTGTGTTATTCTCACCCCAAACAGGCAGCATTGAAGTTCAAAAAACTTTTGATATTATCCTGGAAGAGTAATTGCTGACCTTATTCACCGGCAGTGGGCCTTATGGCACAGTGAATCACCAGGTTAGAGACACGTTTCACAGTTGCTTACATATCCACAAATTAGGGGATGATATATCGGGACAATTTAGTAGACCTTTATCATAGGAGTATATAGATTTTTCAGAGAGTACTGTTGTGTGACTTGAATTTTAGTCTTGGCCCTGCCTCTGACTTCCTCAGTGATTTATCCTGGTTCCAGGGAAGGAGACCAGCCTTTTCCTCATGCTAGTCTTTGGTGGTTTTTAAACATTTGTTTAACTCAACAAATAAAATGTATCATGTGCCTGACTCTACTACACCAGTTTTTATATATATATAAAATTGTTAAAAATGTTTGGCCAGGTGCGGTGGCTCACGCCTGTAATCCTAGCACTTTGGGAGGCCAAGGCTGGTGGATCACTTGAGGTCAGGAGTTTGAGATCAGCCTGGCCAATGCAGTGAAATCCCGTCTCTACTAAAAATACAAAAATTAGCCGGGCGTGGTGGCAGGCGCCTGTAATCCCAGCTACTCGGGAGGCTGAGGCAGGAGAATCGCTTGAACCTGGAGGAGGAGGTTGCAGTGAGCTGAGATCATGCCATTACACTCCAGCCTGGATGACAAGAGCGAGACAACCTCTAAAAAAAAAAAATACACACACACACACACACACACACACATATATATATAGAGAGAGAGAGCGCTGTAGTCCTTAATCTCTCCAATTGACACAGGCAGAGCCAGAGACTCGCGGCTGTGAGCAGAGGTTCTCCAGGCAAACAACCAGCGCTGAAATTCTGGTCTAGCCAGCTGTCAGCTTGGGCAAGTTACTTAACCTCTCTGTGCCTCAGTTTCTTAACCTGTAAAGCTGAAATAGATTATGCCTCATGGAGTTGTTTCAGAGAATATATGAGGCACTACATATAAAACTATTTAAAAAATTCTTGTCACATAGTGAGTGTGAAATTATTATTAGCTATTGTTGTGATCTCAAGTCTTTCTCTAACTTTATTTTATTTATTTATTTGAGACGGAGTCTCACTCTGTCGCCCAGGCTGGAGTGCAGTGGCGTGATCTCGGCTCACTGTAACCTCTGCCTCCCAGGTTCAAGCGATTCTCCTGCCTCAGCCTCCCAAGTAGCTGGGATTACAGGCATGCACCATCACGCCTGGCTAATTTTTGTATTTTTGGTAGAGACAGGGTTTCACCATGTTGGCCAGGCTAGTCTTGAACTCCTGACCTCAGGTGATCCACCCACCTTGGCCTCCTAAAGTGTTGGAATTACAGGCATGAGCCACTGTGCCTGACCTTTTATAAAAGCTATGCTTGCTACCGAGCTAGACTATAAATTAATAAATCCCCGGGGCTTAGTCCAATGCTCCACCTTGTACAGAAATGATGATCACCAGCTGATAACCCTTCTATTAAGGTGCCCAAGATACCTGCACATCCAACTTTATAAATATCAATGATGTTAATATAGATCTATAAATGCATAGGCAACTAGTTTTGAATGCCTGTTACAGCAGGGTGTGACTCGTAGTTTCCACTGTGGACCTTCGCAGTGTGGAGCTGGGGAAGGGCAGTGGAGGAAAGCTGATGTTTCTAGGTCATCACTGGGAGGAGGGTCCGGCCTCAGCAGCTTTCTCTCTAGGGGGATCACTGTGCTATGTCAGCCATCCTAGTGTCTAGCCCCTTTGGTGAGTGATCTGCATTTTAAAAATAAACTTTATTGACATATACATACACCACCCTGGCTTTGTAGGGGTGCTAAGGTCATAACAGCATGTGGTCATCCCCTCCAGTGTCCTGCTCTGCCACCAGCACCGGGTCCTGGGTGAGGGGGTGTGAGGTCAGTAGAAACAAAGCTGCTGTCTGTGGTCACATAAGGGTCATCAGCTGACCTTTGTCCTTGCTCTGCTAGGTGGGCAGTGACTGTACGAAGCCCCAGGGGATATAGGAAATGAGAGCAATGCAGGACAGCGAAGCCTGAGAGCTGGAGGCCTGAACCACGCTGCTGTAAGCACGCCGATTCCACAGCCTGCGGAGAAGCTCCTTCGTGGGGAAGGCAGGGCTTGAGGTGGGTTAGACCATTCGAAGAGTGAGTGTGAACTGCTGGGCATGAGGATGCGCACCCAGAATGACCGAGGGTGGTTGAGTTGGATTTTTTTTTTTTTTTTTTTTTTGAGACGGAGTCTCGCTCTGTCGCCCAGGCTGGAGTGCAGTGGCCGGATCTCAGCTCACTGCAAGCTCCGCCTCCCGGGTTTACGCCATTCTCCTGCCTCAGCCTCCCGAGTAGCTGGGACTACAGGCGCCGCCACCACGCCCGGCTAGTTTTTTGTATTTTTTAGTAGAGACGGGGTTTCACCGTGTTAGCCAGGATGGTCTCGATCTCCTGACCTCGTGATCCGCCTGTCTCAGCCTCCCAAAGTGCTGGGATTACAGGCTTGAGCCACCGCGCCCGGCCGGTTGAGTTGGATTAATCTGGGCAGTGGAGACGCATTCGCAAGAACACAGGGCTCACCTGGAGGTGATCAGCTTAGGAAAGTTGGCAAATTAGGACAAGCTTGGCCTCCAGCAACTCTGTCTAGCCTCCTCCTGGAGGATCGGCACAAAGTGGGTCCCGCTGGCCACACAGAGGAAGCAACAGTTCCATCACTGGGTTCTGAACCACTTCTAACTCCAAACAAGAGGCACTGCCATCACCACCTTGCGGTGCCCAGGAAATGGAGCGGACGACCTGGAACCCAGCTGGGAAGCATCAGTGAGTGGGTGGGACAGCTGAGAGGAGGGGTGGGCGGTGTGGGGGCAGGAGGCTGGGCCTGTCCAGTAGCTTCCTCCAGGACACCAGCTCTCCACGTGCTCTGCTGTCTGGGCACCGCAGGGGGAATGAAGACTGAGGGAGACCACAGGCACTGATGACTACAAAGGAGGCAAGATGCCTGCATGGGGCCCACAGAACACGTTTGTGACCCGACTCCATCGCCGCCATCGCAGAACCACCATGAGCCCCAGGCAAGAGCAGACACCGTTTCACCTGTGGCTGAGCCAGGTACCTGTCCCCCCGTCCCCCTCTGCATGTGCCCAGGCCACCCACTGCGGTGGGGAATGGACACTGAAGTCCAAGGATGGATGAGCACGTCCCCCAACGCCAGGTGAAGAGAGCTCCTCAGAAGGTCCCTGTGGATGGCGTGGGGACACAGCTGCCCTTCACAGGTGGACCACCTGACACACACCCTTGTGTGGGCTTCACCCCCGTTCCACTCCCTCGGCCGGACCTCGGCACTCTGTTGGCACTTCCCAAGTGTGTCACTCTCAGGCCACCACCTGCTGGGCTCTGCCGCTGGGGAAGTCCAGGCCAACAGTCCCTGACATGTAGCATCCACAGTTACCCTGACCCAAGGGTCACCGGAATTTTTTTTTTTTTTTTTTTTTTGAGACAGAGTCTCACTCTGTCGCCCAGGCTGGAGTGCAATGGTGCAATCTTGGCTCACTGCAACCTCTGCCTCCCAGGTTCAAGCAATTCTCCTGCCTCAGCCTCCCAAGTAGCTGGGATTACAGGCAAGTGCCACCAAGCCCAGCTAGTTTTTGTATTTTTAGTAGAGATGGGATTGCACCACATTGGCCAGGTTGGTCTCGAACTCCTGACCTCAGATGATTCGCCCACCTCGGCCTTCTAAAGTGCTGGGATTACAGGTGTGAGCCACCGCGCCTGGCCCCCTGGAAATACTTTCTATAGTTAATGATTTTAGCCCCAGGCCTAGAAAGGACGCTAAACGGCTTAAAATCATGTAAGAAGCACGTTAGGAAAGTCCTTTGCAAAGAACGAAGCAAGGACTAAGCAAGCGCAAGGCAATGTCCACCTCTTCTTTTACTTTTATTTTTAAATTTTCATTTATTTATTTATTTATTTTGAGACGGAGTCTTGCTCTGTTGCCCAGGCTGGAGTGCAGTGGTGTGACAGCACGATCTTGGCTCACTACAACCTCTGCCTCCTGGGTTCAAGTTATTTTCCTGTCTCAGCCTCCCAAGTAGCTGGGACTACAGGCATGCACCACCACTAACACTAATTTTTGTATTTGTAGTAGAGATGGGGTTTCACCATGTTGGCCAGGCTGGTCTCAAACTCCCAACCTCAAGTGATCCCTTGTCTCCGCCTCCCAAAGTGCTGGGATTTACAGGCACGAGCCACCGCACCCAGCCTGCCTCTTCTTTTACGTTAATTGGCTGTGATGGTTGGTCACTTGCAGTGACCTGATGAAAGGGATGCTCAGAGAAGACCCTGGGACTTCTAGGACAGAACAGGACTCAGGAAAAACAACTCAGCGTGTAGTGTTCTGTGTGCACATTTATTTCTTCAAAGATTGTTTGTGTTCCAGCCACATCTTCTCCAAAGGAACCCACCCAAGCCCGTGCACAGGCTTGGTGCAGGACTGTCTTCGGCATTTAAAGTGCTATTGAGGAATACAATCATTGTCACGTAAGTTCATCACCGCACTCCAGTGTCAGGCCAAACCCTTCCGCGGACCTGGAAAACCTGCCGTTTTCTTCTCTTTTTACAATGCAGTTTGGACATAACAGTGGTAAACGACAAACCACAAGCCTCAATGGTGAATGGTGCACTACTGCCCAGCTGCTGAGAGAACGGGGCAGTGTACTGTGTTTCCAATGCAAACAGTCATGGACCCAAGGTAACCTGAGTTTGCTCTGCAGGATTCCGCAGGGGCCTTGCCCTGTGCAGGCTGCTTTGGTCATCGTGTCCGGGCCGGTTTGGGGCAGTGGGGAGAGGGCCTGGCAGCAGGGTTGATGCCAGCCCCGAGGTCTGTTTTCCATCGGACAGAGATCCGTGTCCTGACTTCCACCGTCCACCAATTTGTACTCTGAAGTTTCCAGATCAAGAGCCATGAGATTATTACCCAGGAAACACCGGCCTTCAGTGGCCAGCAGTGTAGATTAATCTTTCCCTCTCTGCTCATAGCAACTTTGCAACTCTCGTCTATAGAGGTGGCCGGTAAAACCCAAGCAAAAATCTAAATGGGCACCAAGGTGCCACTGAGTGGCCGTCGGTCATAAGGGATCGGGGCTGGGTTTGAACCCAGACTTGGAACTTGATTAAAATAAACTGCTCTGTCAAAACTCTCACAGCAAGTTTTCAGCAGGAACAAGAAGATGGCTACTTTTGTTATTGCTACAATCACACACAGCTGTGTGCAGACACACATACCACACACACACACTGAAAGCTCCATTTCACTCCTCCACAAAGAACAGAGGCACCTCCTTAAACAAAGCAAACGGGGAAGGGTTGCAAGCTCGTTAAAACCAACATGAGCACCCAGTTCCAGAGATACAGACACAGTTAATCTTAGTGTTCATGAGGAATCGCTTTTAAAACACCACTCGGCAAAACTTTCATCCAGACAAAAGCCAAAAACAAAAGCCCTCAAGCCGCAAAAGCTCATAGAAGAGGTGAGACGATAAAGGTGATTTACACGTCAGTATTTTTAGCATTTGGTGGATAATCTTAATTTATCTTTAACCTTCACAACATTTACTTTATCATAAATACCCTACACCATGAAAAAAAAAACCTGCACAAAATAGCTTGGGAAAGAAACATTCACAGTATCAATACAGGCCATTTCTCACGGTGCTACCCTGAAGCTAGCCTACGTGTTTCCTTTGCCTTTGCTTCATAAACTCCCTCCCACATTGGTGTTTTCTGTAACTTCAGAAAAGGCCATTGGATGGAGACAACATGAGTGTGTCTACAGGAAGCAGAGTCCTAGACCTAGGTATTCAACAGTAAGCAGTGCTCATGGGATTCATCTGGAAATGGAATAGTTAAAAACTATTTTTTTTTTTTTTTCTTTTGAGAGCAAGAAGGCTTAATATAAAATTCTGGGGCCGGCATGGTGGTTCATGCCTATAATCCCAGAACTTTGGGAGGCCGAGGTGGGTGGATCACCTGAGGTCAGGAGTTCGAGACCAGTCTGACCAACATGGTGAAACTCCATCTCTACTAAATAAAAATAAATTAGCTGGGCGTGGTGGCTGGCACCTGTAATCCCAGCTACTTGGGAGGCTGAGGCAGGAGAATCACTTGAACCCAGAAGGCAGAGGTTGCAGTGAGCCGCCACTGCACTCCAGCCTGGGCAACAGAGTGAAACTCCGTCTCGAAAAAAACATTTTTTAAATAAAAAAATTAAAAATAACTTCTGATCTCCTCGCACTTGAATAGAGTACACCTGAATTCCAAAATCAAATAAAAAAGAACAATTAAAAACTTCTGATCAGTGTCCGAAATTCTGACACATAATATCCTCTGGGAATTCTTATATGTCTCAGGCTCTTTTTACCACATGGCCAAGAGCAGTAAAACTTCAAGTAAAACATTCAAGTGAACATCTGTCCCATCTGTCCCAAAAGACTAGCAGTGACGCCTGACTTTGGGGACAGAAACTTGGTAGTATTCACATATTTTGAAACTCCAGGTGCTTTTTTTTACAATGATTAAAACTGGAATATAATTTTTAAAAACAAAGCAGGTTGAAAAAGTCATTTTAAAGTCACTTGATAATTCCTGGAACACCTAAGAAATTTGTAATGTGCATTTTAAAGTGAAATTCATAATGTCGTTTTCTAATCTCTCCCCCTAAAAAAGAAGAAAAAAATCCCATAATTTTGGTTTTTATACAGGTTTTCACTAAAAAAGAAAAAATCCTAAAATGTTGGTTTTTATATAAATTTTTACTCACCAGTGGCTCTATTACCCCCGAAATATTTCATGTTTAAGGATTAACAAAAGAACCTATGGAAGGAATCTCGCCCATTTCCATCTCCGTGACAGAAGTCAAGCTTTCATAACGGCCTTTTACATCTCTTTGGAGAAAAGTGAATCATATTAAACTGTCAAAAACACTTCACCCCAATGATGACTGTTCTTTAACCAGCATGTCTACTGGAAGTGGCACATTCAGGGCAGACCAAAGTGAAATCTGTGAATGAACTGAAACAGAAAGGCAACTGATGAGGAAAGCGACTGGAATGATACTTAGGGATATTCAAATGGTGTGCCAGGTGATCATGTTTTCCACCAAAACAAACCCAAACAAGGGCACCCCAACCTGTGTCCAAGAGGACTGTTCACAGCAAAATTCTGAAGTGCTCATAGAAAGAATCTCCTGCAAGTTTGGCCCATTTGTTATTAAACTTCCATTCCTAAGACTGACACCTGAGACACAAAATAATTTCCTCCATTGCCCTAAAAGGACTTTGTTTTGGCTACTGGCAGCATTTGGCAAAATCCATGTATGTGTTTGGTTACCGTGTTGTACGAGCGGTCACGTATGGCTCCTGACTTCATCTGACAGGCCTGCTGTGCTCTTGTTTAGCAAGTATGACAGGCGGGAGAAAAAAAAACTTGAATGTCAACTTCTCCACTAGTATTATTAGAGCTTTTAACACGATAGAGAAAAATGTAAAAACCATGTGAGAATATATATATCTTCCACTTGCAAGTAGGCTCAAAGTAAACTTAGAAAAGTGTTCTGCATACTATGCATAGGATATAGTTAGTGTTCAAGTTCTATGGCTAATATCAAAGGTAGATGACTTCCTACATCTGTCATAGCGTCTCCATTCCTACCAAAATTTATTTATCCACATCCTGTCTATGTTCCACTTCCCTGTACTCAGGGCCAGCTGCATTTTTTATTCCAAGCAGCAGATGAGGAGAGGTGACCCACCCTTTCCATTCACAGTGACAGCACAGGGGGGCACCTCCTTTTTGTGACATGGTCCAGGCATGGACCAAAAACACTTGTTAGTGTAGAATAGGTAAACTGAGTCCCTCACACCTGCCCTCCACAATCCATTAGAGTATATTATTTCACTTATAATGTTAATCTCCTTCTAATATTGAACCCTAACTCTTAGCTTTGAGCACAGCCCAAGCTCTGTGGCTGTCAAGTCTCATTTGGCATCTGGTGGCGAGTCAGGCTTTTTATCCTCTCTGGGGGAAACCTCCTGGCTGGAGACTCAGATATTGTTTTCCCTTTAAAAGACTAGATGGTTGGAAGAAACCCAGCAAGACAAGCGGGGCATCTGGACATCTGGCGGGCACACTGGCTGCGTCCTGGTGAGGGTAGTTAACGCAGGTGCACGTCTTCTGGCTTGGAGGTGATGACCTCAGGCCCTATGTGCAGGGCTCCACGGGGGCACCGTTCATGGTGTTCTTGTTTCTGTGCCTGGAGAGCAGCTTCTTGTTCAGGATCCTGGTGAGGGTGACGCCTTTCCTCCGGGAACCCTCTGGCTGCTCCAGGAACACAAGGTCATTGTGTGACTGACTCATGCCCGGGTCTTTCTGTTGATGCCGCCGGCGGAAGAACAGCTTTGCCCCTTTCCTTAGAATTCCTCCTGGAAGAGGGAAGCACAGGGGCTGGTCAAGTGGGCGGGGAATGAGGGGCTGAATGACTGCTCCAATGGGACAAAGGGAAAAGGAGGCTCGAATGCCTCTAACAAAGGGCCAGTTTACTACTTCAATGTGCTGTCACTATCTGCATGAGAAAAAAACAACTGGAATCTGGCTTGTACAAAATGAGATTTTTCAAGATGAAATGGAAAGGAGATTATAACAGTAGAAGCAGTAAGCCTGGACTATCGCTTGGTATCCCTTTCCAAGGATGGTATTTATATTCCTGATGTTTTTTGGGGACGGAATCTTGCTGTCTGTCACCCAGGCTGGAGTGCGGTGGTGTGTGCGATCTTGGCTCACTGCAACCTCCACCTCCAGGTTCAAGCGATTCTCCTGCCTCGGCCTCCCATAATGGCTGGGATTACAGATGCGCGCCACCACGCCTAGCTAATTTGTTGTATTTCTAGTAGAGACGGTTTCACCATGTTGGTCAGGCTGGTCTCGAACTCCTGACCTCAGGTGATTCACGACCCTCAGCCTCCCAAAGCGCTGGGAGCTGGGATTACAGGCCTGAGTCATCACACCTGGCTTATATCCCTGATTTTCTATCAGATCAAATGGAGGCAGACAGCTGTTGCCTCGGTTGGGACACCAAGGACACCTGGGTCCCTTCTGTGCCACCCACGTCCCCTCATTAGGAAAGGTGTAGGTGGCAAAGCAGTGCTGTGCCCCAGAAAGGATCATCACACTCATAAAACCCAATTAAGACCCTGAGAACAATAGTATTCACTTTCTTAGGGATGTTAAATAACAGTTGCTCTTTGGGGAATAAGATTTTATTAAAAAATAATTCCAGATCCTATCATATCTATTAGGCCGTGCCCTCTGAAGTTTGTCACTTGGGCATATTTGGCCTACAAAACCTCAATTTTGTGTCGTTTGATCTATCTGTTTACAGATAGATACAGATCTCTATATACAGATATTTATCTGGATATAGATATCCATCAAGTAGTAGAATATGGAATAGAAAAAAATTAGCAGCAGCAGCAGCAACAATAATTTCAACAGCAATGATTCCTTAAAGATCAAGTATGAGCTAACGTAGTAGGTGCAAGAGCCCACTAATTTGCTTTTTCACAAATTAGTTTAACATCTTATTAACCAAGGCTGGCAAGGTTGAGGGAGTAAGCATTTCAGTCCAGCCTGTGAAATTCATTACCACTTGCATGTAGGTGGTAATGACTTTGAAAGAAGACAGGTCTGATCATCATGAAGAGGAGCTTTATTCTTAATGTGATAATTTATTCCCTTTGTGATAGGCATATCCAATAAACATCTCAATAGCCATGACATATGCAAATCGCCACTCACGTTGAGGAGGTTAAAGGAGAGGATGAAGAATATCAATTCCCTCTTCTAAATGAAATGCACACCAACAATTGTGGCATCTGAGGGCAGTCGGAGAAACCTGACCTAGACCTGCCTATGAATCTTTGTATAATCAAAGCCTGCTATGGGGAAAGAAGCATGTGCCCCTGAGCCTGACTTTAAGCACGAACTACTGTGTCCCATCTGCTCTGCCCAGGTTACATACAGGACAGAAACTGAGAAGATGAAGGGCCGCAATGGACTGAATTTAATTTGATCAAAGCAGCCATAATTTTTTAAAAACTTGACTCTCTCAATACAACCAAATCACTTCTTCTGATGTATCATTTGGACATTGTTTTACAGTGATCTAAAGTTAGGAGCCTGTGTGCAGGGGTTTCAGGGACTGCTGGAAAAGGAATGAAAAAGGAGGGTAAGTAGTATCAACGTGTAAATGACGTCCCTGTTGTCCGCAGGCCTAATGGTACACCTGTGGGACATCAGTGTCAGTTCCTGGAGTGATTCACGTCCCTGAAAAATGCAGCACGTCGTGAAAAACCAGCCATCAGCAGGGCGTGTTCTGACGGCTGGATAATGACCCCAACTGGACATGGCTTTGGAGTTTGGCCAGTGGGGCAGACGCAGTGGTGCTGATGTGGCTAACTGCCTTTGCATCAGAGGGCACCTGCTGGGGAAATGCCCTGGGCATGGTGATAGGGGCTCCCAGGCAGAGGAACCCCCAGTTGTCAGGGGGCTCTGAGACCACCAGGTGACCTGAAGTTGGGGGATGAGGGGGACCCTCATGGTATTTCTGATCTGTAGGCACCTGCCTTGAAGCTCTGCTTTAGGCTGACCTTGGAGGCCCTGAAGGGCCTATGGACATGGGCTCTCAGGTGGAACAGGGGAGAGGAAAGGGTAGATCCAACAGCTTCACCTGGACTGCTCCAACGTCACCCCCCCTTCACTTCCCAGGGGGAATGGAGGCCTAGGGGGAGGGAACACCAACCCATCCCCCGGGTCAACCACAGACCCACGGTCTCAGAACCCCCAGCAGTGAGAGGTTCCTTCCTGCTTCATCTCCAAAGTCCATTTCATAGGCATCCCTGCACTGAAGCTGGCCTGGGGTCTGGAGCCAGGCCTGAGGTATGAGCAGGGACACTGTGATGGGCTGAACTTGGCTCCCCTACCCCCACCCAAATTCATATGTTACAGTCCTAACCCCCAGTACTTCAGAGAATGTGACCTTATTTGGAGACGGGGTCTTTGCAGAAGTCATCAAGTTAAAATTAGATCAACGGGGTGGCCCGTGATCCAATATGCCTGCTGTCCTTATCAAAAGGGGGAACTCAGAAACAGAGACAGACACACAGGGGAAGACACTGTGAAGGGTCACAGGAAGGACGCCACATGAAGATGAAAGCAGGGCACAGGGCGATGCTTCTACAAGCCAAGGAGCGCCAAAGGTTGTCAGCAGCTGTCAGGAGCTGGAGAGGCGGGAGCAGGCTTTCCCACAGGGCCTCAGAAGGGGTGGCCCTGCTAGCACCAGCAGCTCAGACCTCCAGCTTCCAGAACAGGGAGAGAATCAGTGCTCCTGGTGTTGAAAACACCCAGTTTGTGGTAATTTGATACAGCCCTGGGAGGAGAGGGGTACATTTGGCTTAAGGATCCAGGAACGCCCGCCATGTCTTCCTGTTCAGTCCTCAGAACCCAGGCAGGCACGTGGAGGAGTGGGGGAGCGGAGAGGACAGTGGAGCTGAGTGTCCTCAGCCCCAAGCCCTCAAATCAGCCGGCATCTAAGGACTACAGGTGTGCAGGCCCTTCCTGGAGAATCTGGCACGATGGGGGTCTGGGGACAGCGGGCATGAGCATTTTTCAAAAGATCCCAGGTCTTTCAAACATGCAGCTGGGGTTGCCCACTGCTAGCCCAGGTCTGGCCAAAATGCCACCAGTGCTTGGAGCACCTGGAGGCCACAGTGGACAACGCAGGGACAGGCCAGGGCCAAGGACACGGGCACCGTACCTGCTCTCCTGTGTGCCGCTGCTCATGCTCCTTCACGCTTCACTCTGGGGGCCTGCAGACCACAGGGCTGTGAGGGGAGAAGCTGATGCAGCCCACCCGCAGGGCCCCACGCCACGCCAGAGATGCGCGGTGTGCCCAGGTGAAGAGGGAAGTGGGGTGTGCAGACAGGCAAGGCACGGCTGTATTCAAAAGACCTCAGAACAGGAAGAGGGGCCGGGCACGGTGGCTCAGCCGTGTAATCCCAGCACTTTGGGAGTCTGAGGTTTGGAGAATCCCCTGAGCCCAGGAATTGGAGACTAGCCTAGGCGACATAACCAGACCCCATCTCTAAGAAATAAAAATAAAAAAATTAAACTTTAAAAAAAATAAAAATAAAATGGGATACGCACATTTTCAAGCAGTTACTTTAAGTCATGCAAGGGAAATCGAACTACAAGTGCCTAAACCTGGGAGGCTGAGGCAGGTGTTTTACTTGAGCACATGAATTTGAGACTGCAATGAGCTATGATCTTGCCACTGCACTTCAGTCTGGGTGACAGAAGTGACAGAACAAGACCCTGTCATAAAAAAATAAAATAAAATAAAATAAATAAAAACTGCCTAAAATTCTAATTCTTGGCATATTAAGACGAAATAGCAAGGATTGCAGCCTGCATGTAAAAAGATGGAAGACAAGAAAGATTGGCACGGCGTGTTTGTTTTATCCTCACTACGGGCTCCAGTCTGTTGTCTGTCCAGACCCTGAGGGACTAACTTGTTTTGGTGGCAGATCCCCGCCCCAGGGAGCCCTACGCCTCTTCCATGGGCCACACCCCACCCCGAGGGGCTGGTAACAAGGTTATTTTCTGTTCTTCCATCTTCACTCACGCTCTCCAGAGCATGTCTGCTGTTTTGTTAAATTTCTTTTTTTTGAGACGGAGTCTTACTCTGTTGCCCAGGCTGGAGTGCAGTGGTGTGATCTCAGCTCACTGCAACCTCCACCTCCCAAGCTCAAGTGACTCTTCTGCCTCAGCCTCCCGAGTAGCTGGGATTACAGGTGCGAGCCACCACGTCCGGCTAATTTTGTATTTTTACTAGAGACGGGGTTTCTCCATGTTGGCCAGGCTGGTCTCGAACTCCTGACCTCATGATCCACCTGCCTTGGCCTCCCAAAGTGCTGGGATTACAGGTGTGAGCCACCGCTCCTGGCCTGTTTTGTTGAATTTCATAGTTCAACATCAATGCCAGAAACCAGATTATGGTCATATGTGCCCATGTGAAAATCTTCCCGGAAATCATTTGTGTGACTTGCACTTTCCCCTCACCTGATAATTTGTCACAGCTTCTAGGGGGATGGCATCAACTTCTCATACAGGGGATGGTCATGTGCGGGTGGGGACTGAGGTTTGCAGTTCTGTAGACTGGACCCTCAATGATATCCCCCAGCCGCCTCTGAGGAAGGAGGCCTGATCCCTACCATTTTTAGGGTTGCTTTTGGTCACTGTTTTCCTACCTATGGGATTTTAAGATAGATTCCTTAATTAGCTATTTATGTCTGCTAGACTCTGTAGGGACACATGAGGAAGCTAAGGTTTGGAGAGGTGGCTGTCTTGGGGTCTCACACTAACGGGGCGGGTGTGTAACACTGCGCTTTCTGGCTCTGAAGTTCATGTTCCCAGGCCCTGCTCCTCCGTGCTGCTAAGGACGGCGTCTGAGAAGTGGCCAGCCAGGTGTCTGGAAAAATGGGCAAGTCTGTGGCCCCTGGGGAGGAGACTCCGGAGAGTGTGGATACATCAAAGCCCTTGGGGTCTCACGGCGCAAAGCCCCCTAATCCAGCAAGGACCTGGGCGGGATTCCCAGAACGAGTTGCGTCTCCAGAGAGGCATGCAGGGGGCGGGGGAGGAGAGGATTCCCGTCATGCAGACTCATCTCAGGCAGACTCATCGTCAGCCATGAAGGACCACCACACGGACAGAGGCCATTCCATTCCCTTTCTCAATAGCAATGGGAAAGCCTGTCTCGACTTGGAAGCAGATTGTTCACTGTCACCTTTCAGGTAAACGATGCAGGGAGAACACGGCCCCGGATTTGCCAGCTCACACTAAATAGCCGCCCCACGGTGGTTGTGAGGGACGGGGCTGAGACCGGAGCACGCTCTTGTCTATTGGGCAGTAACCCCGTATGGAATGTACCAGTCTGCCCACCTCGATGAGCAAGCCTGTGAGGTGTCGCTGTGTCAACCTGGCCGCAGCACCCAGAGATTCAACAGAACTGAGGTGTGCCTGGGAAGGCATTGTGTAGATGTAGTTAACAACCCCAGCCAGTGGACTTTAAGGAAACGAGATTATCCTGGAGAATGTGGGTAGGCCTCGTCCAATCAGCTGAAGGCCCTAAGCTCAAACACTGGTTTTCCACGGAGGAAGAAATTCTGCCTCAAGACTAAAGCATCAACTCTTGCTGGGGTCTGTGACCTGCTGCCTGCCCTGCAGATTTCAGACCTGTCAATCTCATGAGTCAGTTTCTTAAATATGTAACCTATGGGTTCTGCTGCTCTGGAGGACCCTGACTGATCCAGGAACTGATAGTCTGGATAATCAGACCATCTGGATGACCTGGACCAAGCACATTATCTGCTTGACTTTGAGCCTGCAGAAACTGTTGCCCTTTGCTGATAGTGAAGTTCACGCCATGGGCAAGAATAGCCGGCGCCATGTTGATTTCAGGAAACCTGACTACTTGACTCCAGGCTACCTTCTCTACACCAACAGCAAGAAGCAAGATTTAGACCTCACCCACAAGCTTCAAGATTCCTGAAGATAATCTGGTGGGGGGGTTATGTGAAATTTGAGGCAAGTAACTAAGATTTTAAATGGGAGACAGGGAGAAGAAAAAAAGTCCTTCCCTGGTTCTAACAAAGTTTAAAAAACAAATCACAAGAAGGCTGAAGTATAAACAAATACATGAAAGAATTTAAACATCATCTAAATTATAGCTCTAATGTCATAAATATTTCCAAATTTATTCCTATTTGTCTCTTACAGAGTCTAACAGATATAGTTAATTGAAGGATCTGTCTTAAAACCCAGCAGATGGGAAAAACAATGACCAGAAGAAAAAAAAAATTGTCTTTGGCTTCCCAAGAACAGCATCAGATTTCAACTGGAACCACAGATGGTCCATGGATAGAAGTGACTACTTTTTAGCTCTGGAGGACCAAAAAGGGAATCAGCCTCTTCCTGTGGGTGTCACAGAGAGGTCGCCCAGTCACATCAGGTACCAGAGCGAGCGCCCTCACCTGATAGGTGCTGTACAACCTCAGCCAGAGCAGTTTCAGGAGGAACATGGGGAACTAGCAACCTAGGAGGGGAAAGGCGGAGACGGGAGGGAACACGAGGCAGGCAGGTCGGCTGGCTGCTGAGCTACAGGCTGCACTCCTAGGATGGCTATGTGTAATTGAAAAAAATAAGACAAAAATAACTTACTGTGCAGGCAATTAATTCTGGTTGGCATAGTGATCCTCTTAAGTTAAAGGGAATAAGCATGAGATGAAGAGAAGTAAGAAGCAGAAAGAATTATGCAAGAGCAACATCAGAGTGGACGTGGGTAAGGGTTCTGAGCCATCTACAGACACCACAGGCACACGGGACGCCGCTGTGCAGGATATTTGGCAAGGTTTCTTACCATTCAAGTGTTTTTCCCAAAACCTCCCTTGAAACTGTTGTTCTTGCTTGTGGTAACACACCCATAATATACCCTCTTAACCATTTCTACCTACACAGTTCAGTGGTGCTGACTCTGTCTACAACGGTGGCCAACTTCATTGATCTTTTTTTAAACTAAAAGTAAACCAAAATTTGGAGAATACATTTCCTGTGTGGGCTGGTTTCCAACCAGCAGAACCTCAGGAGGGTTCTAAATACACAGGCACTCTCAGAAACCTAATACAGACTCCTTAGCAGGGCAGAAGATACAGGAGGTTCTTAAACCAAAAAAAAAAAAAAAACCACACACAAAAAAACAAGCTTTAGTTTTTTAAAAACGACACCCTTTATCACCGGTTTTGAAAAATGTTTGGTCAAAAAATGAAAATGACTTGGCACCCATAACACAGAATCATCTCAGATTGTGACAACAGCTCACAGAGATGCTAATTACAAGTCTCTTTAAAAACGCTGGAAGGAAACATTTAAAACTGCTGCCAAATATGTCCTGTTCAAAAACCTGGGGTCAACGCGGTAGGGCCACAGGAGTGAAACGCATGGCACGGCTGAGTGTCTCTGCCGTATTCCCAACTGCCGCGCCTCCGGGGAGTTCTGAGCCTGTGCTGTAGGTGGCCAGCACCAGCCCCCAGCACACCTGCCCGACACCCAGTCCCCAGAGGGTGGACCCCTCATCCACCTGGCCCGTGAAGGGAGAGGAGCAGGGTGGGTGGCAGAGCAAGGATGGAAACCCGGGGAAAGACTCTCCAGAAGGGAAACCAGACAGAGAGAAGCAGGAGGGACTGGGTGAAGGAACGCAGATCTTTGCATGAACAGAGTGAGCGAGGCTTGGCATTTCAGAAGGAATGAGGAGGGCGGACGGGGGGTTGAGTTCTGCCAGGACAAGAGGAAACGGGTCGAGTCAGGGAAGGGAGAGGAAGAGCTACCCCACCATGCGCCCATGTTTGTCCCACCTCACCCAGCACTCACCGTCTCCAAGACAAAGAATAGGCCACAGGTGTGTGTCAGGTGACCAGGTCACCTTTGACATAACCCAAGCCAAGGCATCTTAACAGGAGCACAGGAGCGCAGAGGTCAGTGTGCAGCTTACAGCCCTCAAGAGCTCTGTGGAGGGGGGTCCGCGCATAAAGCGCCCCAAGGCCAGGCAGTGGGCAAACAGATCCAAGGGGTCTGAAATCTTATCCAGGAATTTCCTCCTTCTCCCTTTCCTCTTCTAACTTTCCATTTCCCCCCAGCACCTATCCCGACTCTGCACTGGTAAGGACGGGGGCATAGGAGAGCGTAGCCACCAGGCCATCACTGAGGGACACGAAGCAAAGACAGGGAGAGAGGGGACAAGGACAGACTCAAGGACAGTCCAGCCCACGACAGGCTGTCAGCTTTGGCACCAGGGACATTTGGGACCAGAGCGTGCTGCACTGTGAGGCTGCCTTGTGGGGGCGTGTCCTGTGCACGGCAGGGCACTGAATGGCATCCCCGGCCTCTATTCACTAGATGCCGGTTGCACCCCAGACTCCCAGCTGTGACAACTAAAGTGTCTTCAGACACTGCCATATTCCCTGGGGGAAAAAGTGCTGGGCTTGAGAATCACTGGTCTATGGCATCAAGAACAGAGGACAAGAGGTAGCAACGGCAACGCTTAACAAAGCTCCCCCAAGGAGCCCCTGCGATTTCCCGACACAGACTGTCTTAGGACATCCTGAGATTTCTGCTGAAAGCCTTGGAGCCCCACACAAGAGCCAGAGCCAGGAGTTAATGCTGAGTTTCACCCAAGCTCACAGCTTGGCCTGCCTTGCCCCCAGTCCTGTCTTCTGCACCGAGATGTCCTTTTGTCCCCCAAATGGTGGAGTCAGGTGGGCGCAGGCAGCGGCCACGCTCCTCATCTTATGGAGGAGGATGCTGAGGCTCGGTGGTCTCACATCTGGAACCGACCCCAAGCCCCTAGACTACATGCCCTTAGCAAATACATTCAGGTTACTCATGCCAAGGCACTGTCTCGGCAAATCTGCACACGCTTAAGGAATTTATAGGTGTAAAGCACTGAAACTCAGGGCTAATGGAAACAATCAGTACTAATGAAATGATCACCTCCTCGCCACCCACATATTAAGTTAATCAATTCATTATTCCCAGGAGCTCCTCTCCCCGTAGAGCCTCCTAGGGTCAGGTGGTGAGGTCTGGTTTCGTTTGAGGTGCACGGAGACTCTGAGAGGCATAAAGGAGCAAAGATACCCATATCGGCAGTGGAAGGAGCCCCAGGCTCTGCCTGGCTTTGCTCTGAGTCTCTGTGGTCCATCATCGTGTAGGGCTCTTGGTAACCCCTCGGGAAGCCAGGTGGCGCAAGCCTGGACTGAGGAAGGGGCCTCTATGCATGGACACACACTGGCCCCAAATGCAGAGATGACACCAAGCCTCACACAGAAGGACCTGCAGATGCCCCCCATGGGTTCAAACAGTCAGCACAGGGCGTTTCTGGAGGGGCAGGGGGTGAGGTCCAGAGGGAGCTTGTAGGGGACAAAGGGAACGAAAGCAGACGACTTCAGCTTGGAAGCCAGCATGAGCACAAAGCCTCCCAGTGGGGGGCCTGGGGTTGGGGGCTCGGGAGCAGGTACCTTTATGCTTTTTGGCAGCGCCTGGCTCCGAGACACTCACGGAGCTCTCTGATAGCTCATCACCGTCGGGGTCCAGCAGGGCCTGGCTGCTCCATGCCACGGCCTGGGGCTCCTTCTCCAAGTCCCAGGAGTCTAGCTCATCCTCCTGGGGCTTGAGGGCAAGGGATGCCTGGGCTGACTCAGCTTCCTCCAGTGGGGCAGAGGCTGTGGCCACCTCCGGATGGGATGGGGCATCCTCCTGGTGGGTGCTGTCCACAGAGGCCATGTAGCTCTGCATCAGGGCAGCATCGTGGTCCTGAGATAGTGAGGTCTGTTAGGGGCGGTGGGGAAGATGATAAGGGTTACGTGAAAGGAAGAGAGGGTTCGAAAAGACCTGAAAAGCACTCTCCAAAACATTCTAACAGTTGATTTCAGAGTCTCAGAAGATGCAGTAGCGGGCCTCGGAGAAGGTGCTCATACGTCACGGCTGTTGCTCATGCTTGGGCTAAAAAAGGTCTCCCTTACAGCCAGGGCTCAGGGTCCCTAGGCAGCTGGGGGGTGGCCCCCGGGGCTCAGAGGTTAACCCCCTTCCTCCCGCAGATGGGCCTAGCAGTGGGAGCATTTGTGGCAAGCCGCAGAAATGAGATGCAAGAGAGCCCGTCCTTCAGAGTCCACGACAGCACAAAGGAAGTGGCCGTGGGTGTTTCGGGTTTAGTTGTCTTTGTTCCTCCACACGTTTATGTTACCTGCAAGCAGAAATTCACTGGCGCAGCCTCTCAAAGATTATATTTTGTGTAAAAATATTTAAGCACTAAATTAACCTCTGAGAGTCGGGATAGCGCTTCCTTGGAGGGGGAAAGTTTGGGAAGGAGGGCACGGGGGCTCCCTAAGGGCCAGTCATGCTGTCCTTGGTGTGGGTGGCAGTGACACAGGCGTTTGCTTAGGGACAATGTGCAGTTCTGACTTAAGTGCTGGCCTGTGGAAGAGCCCACTGACTCAAGATTAGATAATCTCCCTGTCTCTACTAAAATAAATACAAAAAATTAGCCGGGCGTGGTGGTGGTCACCTGTAGTCCCAGCTACTCGGGAGGCTGGGGCAGGAGAATGGAGTGAACCCGGGAGGTGGAGCTTGCAGTAAGCTGAGATTGCGCCACTGCACTCCAGCCTGGGCAACAGAGCAAGACTCCGTCTCAAATAATAATGATAATAATAATAATAATAATAATAAAAAGATTAGATAATCTGAGCACCAATACAAATAATCACTGCAGTGGATTCAGAACATTAAATACTAAGATCTAGCAGTTCCTCGTGATTCTTAAATACGATCTTAGAAAAAGTATATGAGAGATGCCCATGGGTCTTGTCCTTGTTTTGCTCATTCATTCACCCAAGACCGAAGAAAACCCAACTACTGGGCCCTGGACTTCCAGCGAGGTCATGGATCCCCTGCTGAGGGGCTCTGGAGGGATCAGGAAGCCCCAAAAACACCACCCGCGCGCCTCTGGGACGTGGGCAAGGCCACCCTCTGGGTGCAATGGCAAGGCTGATGACTCATCTCTGGCACCTCCGAGGTCCTGTTCTGGCCCGTCTTCCAGTCACTGAGGAATCCATGTTCTGCGTGCCCTCTGGCCTACCCTCCCACTCTTTTGTCCACAATTCTTCCTCATCCCCTTCCCACACCCAATCAAAATCTCCCAACCCTCCCTCAACCTGTTCACTTGGAAATGTCAAAAAAGAGTAAGGGCCGGGAGCAGTGGCTCACACCTGTAATCCCAACACTTTGGAAGGCCAAGGTGGATGGATCACTTGAGCCAAGACCAGTTCAAGACCAGCCTGAGCAACGTGGTGAAACCCCGTCTCTACCAAAAATACAAAAATTAGCCAGTCTCATAACAAATTAGCTGGTCTCAAAATAAATAGATAGATAAACATTTAAAAATCAAATTAAAAAATGTAATAAAGAGAGTAAGGATCTGTAACATGGCCCTTCACCTGAGGGGTTGGCCTCTCCGCAGCCTGAACCACACACCTGCCACCACCTGCTCCGAGCAGACGTCCCAGAGCGGGAGAAGGGGAAGAAAGGGAGTGCAATGTCCATGGGGGACACTACAATCTTCATTTCTCTCTGATTACAAAAGGAATAAAACATTCACTGCAAAAAAGTAAAAGGCTTTGGAAACGTGTCACATGGAAAGTGTAAGTTCCCGGTGACTGGGTGGTGACGAGAGTAGAGGTTCTGTACCAAAGGGGAGTCTTACGTCATGTTCCTCTCTTTCAATGATTTTTCTTGGAATGATTTGCCAACCTCTCAACGTGTAAAGCGTCACTGATCAGAAACTCTCCCATGTCGTTGGTGAATGGGATAAACTGCGTAAACACAATACCACGCGTGACTCCTTTGTGGGGTGAGGAACGTAATTTGACATTTGTAAATGGAACTCTCTGGATGTTAACCAAGCACTTGGGCTAACTTCTTCAAAGGGCAGAGGAGCAGCAGGTCACTGACAGATGCAAACCCCTCCCCAGCCACCATGATGGTACCTTGGAGATCCCTGATATGATAATAGTGCTTTTCTTCCGTGGCGACTTGAGTTTCAGCTTTGAAGATTCACTGAGTTGTCGAATGGCAACTTCAGCCACTGGATCCGAACCATTCAACACCAACAATTCTGCCGGAGGGAAGGCAGTGTTAAGTTCATCAGCAAAAATTAGACTTCCATGGGAACTTCCAGGGATAATGGAAATGGTCGATAAGCAATGGTTAGCAGATATTTTCTAAAAAGGGCCAAAGAGTACATTATTTAGGCTATGTAGGTGGTCTCTGCAACAACTTCTCAATGCAGCTTTTGTAGAGTGAAACCAGCTAGAGACCACAGGTAAATAAATGAGCATGGCTGGGTTTCAGTAAAACTTTATTTACAAAAACAAGTGATGGGCCAGATTTTTCCTGTGGGTCATAGTTTGCTGTTTGCTGACCCTTGGTCTACACCTTGATTCCCTGGGTGGTTACAAGATACTCACTGAAGTGTCTGCTTAACATTCACCTATTTTATTTATTTAAGTTATACCTGAATAGAGTTGATGGAAAATGGCAAAAGCAAGCAAGCGACAAAAAAAATATCTAACCCTTTGGAAGATTTTAAACTTTGAAAGGCAAGGTAGTGACTCCTTTTCCCTCCCAAGAGTGGCTAAACACACAGAATAGTAACTAGAGCTATGAAGGGCCAGTTAATAAAAGCACTTCCTTCCCTAGGTGAATAACCACACACCAGCCAACATCAATAGAATGCTTACGGCGAACCAGGTGCTGTTCAGAGAGCTCTGTGCACATTCTCTCATTTACTCCTATTCCACACCCCATGAGCAGGTCCTTCCTTTTATCCCATTTGACCACTGAGGAGGATGTCCAGCAGCCAGGAGGCCCCAGAGCTGACATGAGTCTCTCTGACTCAGAACTGATGCTTGTAACTTACACTTTCCTGCTCAGGTAAAGTCAAAATGCCAAAGCTATTAAAGTAGCAGCATAGTAAAAGGAACTTCTGTCTCAGTTTTGGCCATGGCCTGAGGCTTACAGATGCTGCATTTCCAAAGGGAGTCAAGATAAGACCACAGTGGCCAAGAACCGGTGACAACAATGACACTGGGGAATAACAGATACTTGGTCTTCCTCCCTGGTTCCTGGCACAGAGAACAATAACAACAACAACAAAACCCTTTGAATTCCAGAGCCACTGAGATGAGGCATCTTTCTTATTCCTCATAAGCCCCTGCAGCCCACCTGAGTGAATGCTAATGAGGATGAACATTGGATGTCAGAGGCACCAACCCTGTGGTTAGAAGGTTGGAACTTTCTGCCCTCCTCTCGCCTGTGGGGAAGGGAAAGGGGCTAGAGATTGAGTTCAAATTACCAATGGCCAATAAGTGAATCAATCACGCCTACCTACTTATAGAAGCACCATAAAGCCCTAAATGACAGGGCTCAGGGAGGGTCCAGGTTGTGAACCAATGCATGCACGTACTGGGAAAGGGGCGACTCCACGGAGATCAAAGCTCCTACGCTCAGGACCCTTCCAGACTGTGCCCTGCGCCCCTCTTCATCTGGCTGTGCATTTGTGTGATAATAAACTGGTAAACCCAAGTAAAGTGTTTCCCTGAGTTCTGTGAGCCATCACAGCAAATTATGGAACCCGAAGAGGGTGTCATGGAAACCCCAATTTGTAGCCAAGTGGGACAAAAGTGTGGTAACCTGAGGACCCACTATTTGCACCTGGCGTCTAAGGTGGGAGGGTGGTTTTGTGGGGCTGGGCCTTTTACCTGTGGGATCTGAGCTAACTCCAGGCAGTGCCAGAATTGAATTAAATTGTAGGACACCCAGTTGGTGTCTGCAGAGAAACAGAAAATTGCTTGCCATAGAAAATCTACACATTTGGCATCAGGAGTGTTGTCAGTAGAGGAACAGATTTTTGTTTAGCCACTGAGCCATACTGAGAAGAGAGAAGTGTTGGAGAAAGGAGTTGGGGAAGACTCCTCAGGAGAAAGCTATGCTGTAATTCCCAAAGTCACCAAGGGAGAGGCATTGGGAGCACGTTCTCCTCACACCAGGCCCAGTGCTTCTGTTCAGTCCCTGGAGAGCCCGGTCCAGGTGCTAGGTGCAGCCTGGACACCTGCTATAGTGCCTGGCTGCACTGTGGCGGGTGAGCCCGGGGGCTGGCTCCATGGCCCATCTACCAGAACCCAAAGTGGGAACATCAGTCTGGGTCTTTTCAGAGGGATCCTGCCCAGGTGACGGGACCCCACAGTATGGGCAGTGGGGGCACTGCCAGGGGAAGAAACTGAGGAAGGGGTATCAGGGGCAGCAGCAAAAGTGTCAGAGGCATTAGTGCCAGAGTGGCTCCATCTCAAATAAGGGCTGGGCAAAATGAGGCTGGGACCCCCTGGGCTGGACTCCCAGGAGGTGAGGTGTCCTTACTCACAGGGTGAGCTAGGAGGTCGGCACAAGGCACAGGTCACAAGGACCCTGCTGATAAAACAGGATGCGGTAAAGAAGCCGGTCAAAACCTGCCAAAACCAAGATAGCAGTGAAAGTGACCTCTGGCTGTCCTCACTGCTGGTGATACACTAATGAGGATGCATTAGCATGCTAAAAGACACTCCCACCAGCACCATGACAGTTTGCAAATGCCATGGCAATGGCAAGAAGTTACCCTATATGATCTGAAAAGGGGAGGAACGCTCAGTTCTGAGAAATCCCCACCCCTTTGGTAGAAAACTCGTGAATAATCCAACCCTTGTTTAGCATATGATCAAGAAATAAACAGAAAAAGAGCCAAACCCTCACGGGTTCTCTGCCTACAGAGTAGCCATTCTTTTATTCCTTTACTTTCTTAGTAACTTGCTTTCACTTTACTCTGTGGACTCGCCCCGATTTCTTTCTTGCACCAGATCCAAGAACCCTCTCTTGGAGTCTAGATCAATACCCTTTTTTGGTAACGAAAGGAGGGGCAGGGCCTGCATCCCAGAATTGCAGGTGGGGGACCCAGCACGGTAATATCCAAAAAACCTTAAAACCTCCCACGAGAGGAGGAAGCAGTTGTAAACTTTCACCAGGCTGAGAATCCAAAGCCACGTTAAGACAGTGCTCCTCCAGTGAGAACTTCCCACTCCCCTGACCACCCCACCTTGTCCAGTTGTTGGCCTTGGCAAGGTCAGACACAGGACTCGGTGAACGGGGGAGAGCTAGGCAAGAAGGAAGCACCCATTGCCCCTGGGAGCAGGTCACGAGGGGGCGAAGGGAAAAAGTTAATCCCCAAATTTAGATTATGCAGTGATTTAATAAGTCAGTAAGATCTCTTCAAAAACGTCTATTACCTGAAAGTGACCATAAAATAATAGGAGATTTGCATTTCCTATTAGTAGTGACCATTTCCTAGTAGAAGGGAAAACTACTACTACTCAGCAGGTCTAAGCAGAGAGTGGGAAACAAAATTAAAGTGACCGTGATGATGATGTCCCAAGTCCTACTTGTTTGATATTAATGTAGCTAGCGTGTTGTGCAAGAAAAAAATGATCAGAAGGCCGGGCGCAGTGGCTCAAGCCTGTAATCCCAGAAGTTTGGGAGGCCAAGGTGGGCGGATCACGAGGTCAGGAGATCGAGACCATCCTGGCTAACACGGTGAAACCCTGTCTCTACTAAAAAAATCAAAAAAAAAAAAAAACTAGCCGGCCGTGGTGGCAGGTGCCTGTAGTCCCAGCTACTCGGGAGGCTGAGGCAGGACAATGGCGTAAACCCGGGAAGCAGAGCTTGCAGTGAGCCAAGATCTGCAGTGAGCCAAGATCCCGCCACTGCACTCCAGCCTGGGCGACAGAGCGAGACTCCGTCTCAAAAAAAAAAAAAAAAAAGATCAGAAATTTAAAAATGTAAAGTCTCAGCTGGTTTTTTATTTTTTTAAAGCATTCCCTAAAATGTAGAAGGAATATGAATGCCGCTTCTGGTCTTTGATCAATTTGGAGTTCCCTTTTCTCCCTCTCCTTCACTCATCACTCAACCACAAAACCAAGCCAAATCAAAACTTTTTTTTTTTTTTTTTAAAGAGATAGGGTCTCGCTCTGTCACCCAGGCTGGAGTGCAGTGGTGCAATCTTGGCTTACTGCAACCTCCACCTCCTGGGTTCAAGCGATTCTCCTGCCTAAGCCTCTCAAGTAGCTAGGATTATAGGCGTGCACCACTACGCCCAGCTAATTTTTGTATTTTTAGTAGAGATGGGGTTTCACCATGTTGGCCAGGCTGGTCTCGAATTCCTGACCTCAAGTGATCCACCCGCCTCAGCCTCCCAAAGTGCTGAGATTACAGGAGTAAGCCACCGCACCTGGCCCAAAACAACTTTTTCCAAACTCTGAAAGGAAAATACTTCATATCAGAACAGCCCAAAAGGCCCAGAGGTGCTCAGAGGGAGAGCGGTGTGCGCACGTCTCAGTTACCTGTATCTGAAGAAGAGAGCGTTTTGCTGACAGGGGCGCTGCGGCAGGAGATGGCCTGGACAGAGATGTCCTTCTCAATCACCTTCACCTTGATTGGAGTCTTCACCGGAGACTCTGCCAGAGGAAGATTCTGATTACAAAGGTGGCCCCATGGTTGACTGGATCAACAGTTACCGAAACGTGAAAGGACAGCCCTCATTGCAACTCTAGTGTGTGCAGCTGGCAAAGGCAAAGTTTAATGAAAGCCATTTTGAACGGAGGAAAGGCAAGAGTGGTGTCTGGAGTCCAGGTTGAAATAAAAGTTCAGAAACATTTTAACTAAGCTAGAATTTCCCATTCTACTTGGCATCCCTGAACTGTGCCAACTCATGTATTCTGGGAGGATGATGCTTTTGCACAAGTAGAGATGCACTGTGAATTGTGAGAAATAAAGCATACACTTACACAGAAACTTCTGTCTCCAAGGCAGTGGCTGTGGAGACAGGTACAGAATTCAGTTGGCTCTCAAATGACAGCCTGTCAGGCCTTCTAACAAACGATTTTTAACAGAAGAAAGTCTACAAAGCCAACTCACTTTGAATTTTTCAAGAAAAAAGTGTGTGCTGTCCCCACATACAGGTAATAGAGTTGGTGTTTTGTTGTGTTTTGTTTTGTTTTTGAGAGGGAGTTTCGCTCTTGTTGACCAGGCTGGAGTGCAATGGCGTGATCTCGGCTCATTGCAACCTCCACCTCCTGGGTTCAAGCAATTCTCCTGCCTCAGCCTCCAGAGTAGCTGTGACTACATGCATGCGCCACCACACCCAGCTAATTTTGTATTTTTAGTAGAGATGGGGTTTCACCATGTTTGTCAGGCTGGTCTCAAACTCCTGACCTCAGGTGATCTATGCACCTAGGCCTCCCAAAGCGCTGGGATTACAGGCATGAGCCACCGCGCCCGGCCCTATAATAGAGTTCTTAATTTAACTTAGTTGGAGTCACACCTATGTGTAACTATTTATACTATCTAGATTTTAGCTTCAGAATACACCATGGGAATCAAACCTTGTTTCAGCTTATTGCATACGTGTTTGGCAGAAGAAAAAGAAAAGATAACTGTCGTCCAACAACAACAAAAAACGAAGCACAAGTGTGGCCAATCAGCACCCTTCCTGTGCTGTGAGATTTTCCTAACACTCAGTGCTGCAGGCTCCAGGACTCCGCAGTCTGTGGGGGCAAGGTGGTTACAGGCAGGTGCCACGCACAGAGTTCCTCGCCTGCGTTCCTATTGTCTCACCGGAGCTCAGCGGGGACGCCCTCCCCACGTCGACGCGAGGCTTGGTCTTCACGGCAGTGACAGTAGTGACCACAGTCCCACAGGGCATCACCATGCGGTCCTTTTCGATTTTTGCAGCAGGAACAGGGGGAGGGATGGGCCAGGATTTCAATTCCCCAGGTTCTATGTAAGAGAACTGCAGAGAAGACGCGTTACTTGTTTCTGGTTTTGTGGAAACTGCACAGGCTGATCAGCCACATAACGCTTCCTTCTTGTGAAATAACCATAATTCCTTCCCTTAAGGTCACTTAGCATTTCCAATTAACTTGGATATTCCCAGAATGGACACAGACCCCACCTTATACACAGCCGGCTCAACACATAATGATGGCAACCGAATAGAAGCTGGAGAACCAAGCAAAATTTTCAAAGGCCTCTTTGGGGTAGGCCTGTAAAACGGCATCCTGAAAAGTTATCTCCTAGAGCAGACAAGTCAACTGTACAGTGGACAGAACGTGCTCTATTTGAGTGTAGTCCTGTGTATGATGAAACAGCATCTCCTCTTAGAGGAGGTCTCATTTCACACAGAAGCAGGAGTGAGACTCTGCAGACATAAGTGAAGACGCTCCTTAGGTAAGTGCCCCAAGCCGGAACCAGACGCCATGGGAGCCTCGTCCTACCTCTGCCGTGACCGAGCCTAGCACCGAGCTGCCGCAGGCAGACCCGCTGGTCAGCGTGAAGCTCTGTGGCCCAGAAGGCTGCTTCTTAAACAAATCCAAAGGAACTGTCGCCATCGCCAGCAGACCTGAAAAGACAGGAGACAGGCAAGGGGTGCCGCTGATGTTTCCACGGGGTTCCGTGAGAACAGAAAGGCCCACACGCCCAACAGCCGGAACACGCTCCTCACGTGCCTCTGGCACACTCGAAAGTGCTCACGTTTCAGAACGTTTTAAAAATGTCAGTGTCATAAAAGACAAAGGATGTCGAAACGCTGCAGGACAGAGGATGCTAAAGCAATAGGACAGTCAGGCAATGTCCGGCCTTGTGCCAGAGTGGAAAGGTCACTGCTCTGAAGGGCATCATAGGGTCGTCGAGTGACAAAAACTGGAAAATGGGCATAAGTTAAGGAATTGCAGCAATGTAAATTCAGGAAGCTGATAACTGTACTGTGGACACAGAAGAGAATATCTCCATTCCTAGGAAAACACACACTAAAGAATTGAGGATAAAGGGCCGAGATGCATATAATTTATCCTCGTGTGTGTGTGTGTGTGTGTGTGTGTGTGTGCGTGTAAAAAGGAAATGAGTATGGCAGGGAGAGAGAGACCAAGAGTGAGCACAAATAGTAAAGGAAACTGGGCAAATGTTAAGGATACGTGAGTTCGAGTAAAGGTTATGTGGCTGTTCTTTGTATTGTTTTTGTAAAGTTCGACATTTCATAGATTCCATCAGGCTGGGCTGGAATGAAATTTGAATGAGGCCAGCGGGAGTGGGGACCCAGGAATGGGGTCAGAAGTTGACCTCTCTCCAGGTGACCAGCGCCCCCACGCTGTGCGGGTCCCCGACCTGCGGAATGCCTCTCTCAGAATTATCTCATGGGCATCCCAGTTTTCTTGGGACTCCAAAATCAAGGAAGTCGCCTCAAGATTCTTGCTATAACAACTAGGATATAAAACTAGTTAATTGGGAGAAATAACGACCTGATAAGCTGGGCAAGGGCTTCCCAATTTTGGTATGTTTATGGGGAGAGTTTTACAATCTAAGAAAATATTTATATCTTTAAAAACCTAACAAATATTGTAACTGCCGATCTGGACACACGCACACACACAGGCCCACGTTCATTTTAGTGTTTTAGTGACTTTACCTCTAATTGTTGCTTTCTTGTGTATAAATCGTTAAGTTCCATTTAAACCTCTGTAGTTTATTTTATAAGGAAAAATCCAATGAAATGGATACAGGCAGTAGAATGGGGATGAAAAAGCTCTGGAGACAGACGGGGGCCATGGTTGCACAACAACGTGAGTGTACTGACTGCCCCTGAACTATGTACTTAGAAATGGTTAAGATGATACATTTTACGTTGTTTATCTTACTATAGTTACGTTATCTTACTACAGTAAAAAAGGCTTTGTTTTTGTTTTTGTTTTCCAGAAAAGGAGGTCTCTTGGGGCAAGGAGGGTTCGGAACTACTTCTCTATGCCAAGAATTGTTGCATAAAATATTTTGGATTTTTTTTTTAAACAAACAAACAAAAAATCCAGTTGAACATTTCCCCAAAATGTATGACCTTATTAATAACTCAAATTGCCTTTCGACCAAAACGTCCCATGGGAAAACCGAAGTCCTTTAAAGGAGGGGGTCACCGTCCTCTGCTGGATCTCCCACCGCCCTTTCCCGAGGCCCAGGTCACGCAGTGGAGGACCTTTCCAGAGGGCAGGGCCTCTGTCCTCCTCAACCCACCTTCTGAGGGTCGCCCAGCCTCTGAAATCTGCAGGTGTAACTCCTTCGACTTGGCATTCAACTCGCTTTGGAAGAGAAAAAAGTTATGAGTCCTTTATTCTTTTTATGAAATATAGCACTTTTTCTGATTATAGAAAGGAACACAAAGATGTCAATATTTAACAAACTACCAAGACATATAACAAAAATAGGAAAGAGTATCTGCAACCTCCCCGTTCGGAAACAGCTACCGTTAATATTCAGGGACTGGCCTTCCAGAGCAGTCAACAGGATGTTCTGTGATGACAGTGACAGACCAGCTGTCGAATGTGGTAGCCACAGAGCATTGGAGAGGTGGCCAGTGCAAGCTGAGGAACTGAACGTCATTTAAAAAAATTTCCGTTAACTTAAATTCAAAGAGACACACGTGGCCAGTCGCTGCCATACTGAAAGCACAGCTATATAATGACCTAAAGACAAAACACAGAACACAACATACCTCCCTCCTCCTTTGTAACCCGTTTATTTTCTTTAAAAAGGCATTAAAAAAAAAAAAAAGTAGAGATGAAGTCTTGCTATGTTGCCCAGGCTGATCTCAGACTCCTGAGCTCAAGCCATCCTCCCGCCTTGGCCTCCCAAAGTGCTGGGATTACAGGAGTGAGCCACTGCACCCAGCCTGTAACCTATTCTTTTAACTGAAAATTCTGTGGATGTCTTTCTGTGGAACTACAGAGCAACATCATGTTTGATGGGCCTCTAGTATTCTGCTCTTTGGCCTTAGGAGATTTTATTTGGCCAACTCTTCAATAACCAACACTTCTTAATGTGCTGGTGGTCCCTAGTATTTCATAAGCATATACAAGCTGAGAGGCACATTCTTACGCATATATCTTTGCACGCCGTGTGATTATTTCCTCAGGAAAACTCTAATTGCCTGTCAAATGGCATATGCGCACTTGAGAGGTGTTTTTTTATTTAGGCCGACTGATGGCATCCAGAATGCTTATTCCCAGTGACACTTCCAATGCCATTATCACTCTCTTATTCTCCACCAAGCTGTGAGGTACGAAAATGACCTCTCTCTTTTGCTGAAGTGTGCATGACTTTATGCTATTTCTGAACATCTTTTCAGAAGTTTATGGCCATCGGTAGCTCTGGCTTTTGTATTTCCAGTTCAGGAATTTTGCTCAGTTTTCTAGGGCAGCTGTCATCTTTTCCATTCATGATTTATAAAAGCTCTTTATATATATATACACACACACACACACACACACACACACACACACGGGAAATTTCCTTCCATTACTTTTTCTAATTGTTCATTTTTTAAGGATTAGATTGTGATTGATTTTAATACCTTGGTACTCAGCTAATTCATTAAATGATCATGTCTATTAGTTTTTTAAATATTCATTTCTACGTTATATCCATTATTCTTTCTAATACTTTGGGTTGATTTTCTTGCATAGTCCTGATATGCAGTCATATCATCTCCAAACAATGACCGGTCTTGCCTCTTCCTTTCCGGTATTTGTGTATGGTTTTTTTCCTTATCTAATTGCATTAACCAATACTTCTAGAACAAAACAATAGGCATCCTTCTCTTGATTTTAGTGAGTCTGCTTCTGGTATTTACCATTTATAGTGATTTTAAAAATCTTATTAAAGAAGTCTCCATAAATTTTGCTCTAATTAAGGTTTTAAAAATTAAGAATGGGTATTAAATGTCACTGAATGTCTTTTGGACATATGTAGAGAAAATACATTTATTTTCTCCTTTGATCTAGTGATACGATGAACACCATTAATAGATTTCCTTATGTGAAAGCACACTTACATCCTTACATTCCTAGTATGAATACAGCTGGTTTTATTTTTTATGTGCTGTTAGATTCTGTTTGATAATATTTTATTTATGATTCTTACACCATTATTTATGTGCATGGCCTACATTTTTCCCTGTCTCTATTTTTTTTTTTTTTTTTTTTGGAGATGGAGTCTCACTTTGTTGCCCAGGCTGGAATGCAGTGGTACAATTTCAGATCCCTGCAACCTCCGAATCCCAGGCTCAAGTCATTCTCCTGCCTCGGCCTCCCGTGTAGCTATGATTATAGGCACCTGCCACCATGCCTAATTTTTGTATTTTTAGTAGAGACAGGGTTTCATTCACCATGTTGGCCAGGTTGATCTTGAACTCCTGACCTCAAGTGATCCACCCACCTCAGCCTCCCAAAGTACTGGGATTACATGTGTGAGCTACTGTGCATGGCCTTTTTTTTTTTTTTTTTTTTTTTTTTGAGACAAGGTATCTCTCTGTTACCCAGGCTGGAATGCAGTGGCACAACTACAGCTCACTGCAGCCTCGATCTTCCAGGCTTAAGCGATCCTCCTACGTCAGCCTCCCAAATAGCTAGGAGTACCACAGGCAAGGCAAGGGCCACCATGCCCGGTTTTTTTAAAACTTTTGGTAGAGAAAAGGTCTTGCTATGTTGTTCGGGCTGGTTAAACTCCTGGGCTCAAGCGATCCTCCCGTCTCTGCCTCCCAAACAGCTGGGATTACAGGCATGAGCCTCTGCGCCCAGCCCCTTTTTCTATTTTCTTTGTTAGGTTCTGGATTCAGTCAGAGGCTCCCTCCCTTTCCACGATGGATGATGGGTGTGTCTCTAAGAGACCCAACAACGGCTTCCTCTCCTCATATCAGGGCAGGAGGAGAAAACTGACTCTAAGAGCTGCCTTTAAAACGAAACCCATGTTTGACCTAAAGCTACCTTTAAGAAGCTTAACACGTCATTTGTTGTTAACTGTTTTGGTTTAGTGTTTTAGCCTAAACGGTGCTGCAGAATGATCTCAGGATTTAGCGCTCCTGAACAGACACGACCATGGACACGCAGGCCCACGATAACCCGGCCGGACTCACAAGGTGAATTCCTCTTCCCACGTGAGGTCTGTAGTGTTTTTCGTCAGGGTGCTGGAGAACTTCTGAACGGGATCGTTCAGCTGCACGACACACACTGCGTTAATGTGGCCTGTAATTAAATAGAAGGGCATCGTGTTGGCGTTTATTTTTATTTACTTTTTATTTATTTTTTGAGATGGAGTCTCACTCTGTCGCCCAGGCTGGAGTGCAGTGGCACAATCTCAGCTCACTGCAAGCTCCACCTCCCGGGTTCAAGGGATTCTCCTGCCTCAGCCTCCCGAGTATCTGGGATTATAGGCGCGCATCTCCACGCTCAGCTAATTTTTGTATTTTTAGTAGAGACGGGGTTTCACTATGTTGGCCAGGCTGGTCTCAAACTCCTGACTTCGTAATCCACCCGCCTCGGCCTCCCAAAGTGCTGGGATTACAGGTGTGAGCCACCGCGCCCGGCATTATTTTTATTTTTTAAATTGCATGAAGACATTGTATGCATAGAAAAAAACGCTAAATTAAATGGCTAAGGTCGAGGCTTACCCACTTCAGAGACTGGTAATTCTTTCATTTTCCATTTTCAAATGCTCATAGCACCAACCTTTATTGGAGTTAAAGAATTTTTTCCTACATTTGATATCAACAGCCCTGGGCTGACCCCAAGTGCCTCGCCCCCTCCGTCAGTGCTGGCCACAGGCATGGGCTCCCAGGGGGACCCTCCCCGAGAGGCAGCACCATCATATACAGAGGCATGGTCCCCACTTTTAGACAAGACTAACGGTTTGCCAAAGCCCGAACATCAGTTCGTGTTGACTCCTAAATTTGGAAATATACCTCACAGAGTTCCCATTTCCCAACTTACACCAGACAGGTGCGGTACCTGATACTAGCCGGGGTGTCTGATCCAGGTAGTGGGACATGTCCCTAGTGAACAGCTGTTTCTGCTTTGAGACAATGCTTCTCCCTGCAGCACCAAGTCCCTAATACACTGTGGAATCAGTAATTGCTAGAATGTGTGGACGCTGGACCATGCCGCAGCCGGGTGAAGCAGCCTCCAGACGTTCGCTACTGAGCTTTCACAGTCACTCTTCAAGAGAAGACTCAGACCCAGACGTGGGGACATCCAGCAGACGGAGGCACAGGGCCTGGCCTCAGGGCAGGTGCGTGTGGGAGCTGGGACCCCAACCCTGACTGACCGAGTCCAGCAAGGGCAACATGCAGGCACTTTTACCAAAAAAAAATCCTCGACAGCTAGCTCTGCACAGTGTCAGCTGCCAGATGTGGCCCACTTGTGCTTTTGGAACTGGAGGAAGTCCCTCACAAATAAAGATAAGTCACCTTTAACACACTCAGGCAATACAATTCACTACTGTTCTTGGCAAAACAGAGTCGCGGAGTAAAGAGGTGCCCTGTCTCGAGTGACTCTGTGTCTGTGGCCTCAACAATGATTCAGAACCACCCAGAAGGGGTTATCCGTTCTGTGTTGCTTGTCTTGGCTCCAGCAGCAGCCATGGTCTCCCAGCATAGGAGTCCCGAGTGTGGCCGAAGTCATCTGATGCCCATCAACGCCCTATATCCCCCTTCACCCACTTTCTAAGAAAGCAGAAGCTGAACACATACATACGGGTTCAACAGTTTAAAAATAAAAAAAGGAAAGAAAAGATAAAAAAAGACAGGACAATTCCAGACAAATGAAAAAGGCCAAATCAATTATATTCCTTTCTCCCCTCGGCCTTCACACGTGCAGAAACAGGATTGGATTTTTTACCATCTCTTGTTCCCATTACATTTTCAGGTGCTTTCTGCAACCATGGCAGGGCTCCCGCTGCACCCCCACAGGAGGATGCCACCAGAGAATCCAAGCCCCCCCCGGAGCCCCTGACTCTGCTCAGGGGCAGGAACAGCCCCTCCAGGCAGGCCAGGCTCCCACTGTCACCCACCTGAGGCACCGGGCTCGCTGAACAGCAAGGCGCCGATGTTCCTCACCAGTAGCTTTAGCTCGTGAGCCCTTGGAGGTTTCGGAGGACAGGATTCCTGAGCAGTAGAGGGGGCACACTGTAAGTTCTGAAAAAATAAAAAGCACTTTATTTTTGGTCTTTGTGGGGAGACTGAGGACCAAGTAAGTAGCCGCTGGACTCCTGTTATGAGGGGGGTGGCAGTGGGGTGTCTACAGGAAAACCTGTACAGAGAACCCGAGCTCTGGGGTCTGCTCTGGGGAGCCAATGAGCCATCGCCATCCTCCTGCCTGGGAGCATTTTCTATCCTAAATACAGCAAGCACAAGTAGCAATGCATTCATCCACAGACAGGGTTCCCAAAACTTACCACAGGGGACGATGGAGCTCGCTTTGCCATAGGTCTAAACTATCTGACCCGGGCAGGTGCTTAAGAGTGTGAGGACCTCTTCTGCCGGCTGCAGGCACTCACGGCCTGCTAGCACAGAGCAGGACACCAGCCAGATGGGAACGGCCAGGGCCATCAGCCCACACCCATTTCCCACCTCCACACAGAGTACAACGTCCACATGAGGAATGTCTATGCATACCCTAGCACTGCACAGGTGAGAGGACAGGTGAAGGGACAGGTGAGGGGCACAAGTGAGAGGACAGGTGAAGGGACAGGTGAGGGGCACAGGTGAGGGGACAGGTGGGGGGGGACAGGTGAGGGGACAGAGGCAGGGGCAGCTGGGACCAGCTTCCACTACCTCACATCTTCCAACAGGCACCAAGGCGTTTCCAACAGAAAGCACCCCCAAATCTGGAAGAGCCCAGCTTCAAACCAGCATTTCCCAAATCAGGTTCCACCTGTCACCCACTGCCAAGAGTGTTCTCTTCTTTTTTTTTTTTTTTTTTTTTTTTTGAGGGGGGGTCTCGCTCTGTCGCCCAGGCTGGAGTGCAGTGGTGCGATCTCAGTTCACTGCAACCTCCGCCTCCTGGGTGCAAGCAATTCTCCTGCCCCAGCCTCCTGAGTAGCTGGGATTACAGGCACCTGCCACCACACCCAGCTAATTCTTTTTGTATTTCTAGTAGAGACCACGTTGGCCTAGGGTTTCACTATGTTGGCCAGGCTGATCTCGAAATCTCCACCTCAGGATCTGCACGCCTCAGCCTCCCAAAGTGCTGGGATTACAGGCATGAGCCACCGCGTCTGGCCAAGAGTGTTCTTTTAAAAGAGGCTCTGTTTGTTGCAAGCATTCAGGGACCCAGATGGGCTTCTCAGAGGTGGCACCAGCCCCCATGCTGTGAGAAGTTTTCAGGCAGAGACCTGGGTGCTGATTCGACTGAGCACTTCTTCAGGGGAACGTCCTCTAATGTCTCAAGAGACACACGTACTCTTTCCCACCGGGAAACACTGTTCTGAGCCAGGCACTTCCCAAACGTGAGCTGAGGGTGCTACAGCCCCAGACAGAATTGCCAAAGTCCCTGAAATCCAAGGGCGTGAGCACTGGGGACAGAGCAATCTACTTGTCTGGGACACAGATGAAATCTTTTTTTTTTCAATTGCTGAGGGTGATGGTTAACGGCATGTGTCGACTTGACGGGGCCATGGGGTGCCCAGATATTTGGTCCGACATGATTCTGAGTGCGTTTCTGGATGAGATTAACATTTAACTTGGCACACGCAGTGATCAGATTCTCCTCCCTCACGTGGGTGGGCCTCATCCAGTCAGTTGGAGGCGCAATGGAACAAAAAGGCTGAGTAAAAGGAAACTCCTCTTCTTCACTGCTTGAGCTGGGAAAGGGGCCTTTTCCTGCCTTCAGACTTGGACTAAAACAGTGACTCTTCATGGGTCTTGAACTCACTGGCCTTTGGACTGGAACGTACACCACAGGCTCTTTTGGGTCTCAGGGCTTCAGACTCAAACTAGAATTATCCCACAGACTCTCCTGGGGCTGCAGCTTGCCAAATACAGATCTCGGAACTTGTCAGCCTTCATAACTGTGTGAGCTGATCACACACACACACACACACACACACACACACACACACACACACTCCCACTGGTTCTGTTTCTCCAGAAAATCTTGACCAATATAATATATATATATATATGCTATTTTGATTAAATAAAATGTACAAATTTATGGAAAAGCATGATTGAAGTTATGATCTTCTGGGTCCTATTATTTTTTAAATTCATGGATTCCAAAAATATACGACTGTTTTATGAAGTTGCATACATTTTGACATTAAAAGTTGACTGTCATATTCAGCACAGTCACCTGTGATGTGAAATAAGCTACTGTGACAGAATTACTGAAAGGGACAGCGCTGGGACTCTCCTCTCACCTCCCAAGAAGCACGGGCTGGTCCCCTCCATTTGGAGAGGCTGAGTGACCCCAGGCCTCAGGCCCCTGGGAAGCCCCTCAGACATCCGCACCCCTCCTGTTCTGCCCTGCTGGCCCGGTGCCCCTTCTGCATATTGCAGGCTTTGGGAGGGTGATGGTGCTTCCTTATACTCTTGTGACCCCCACAGCCAGGGCTTAGCACCAAACACTGCCATCAACTGATATCTGTTCAGTGAGACAAAGTCTTCAGACTCTACTGACAGCTGGTGACGTCTGCAGACCAAGGACCGACATCATATAAGAATTTATTTTTTCAAACTGACTTCACCAAGAGCTAGATAATAAAGATGGACATTATAATAAAGACATATTTTATCATGCTATATAAAACCACTGCCAAAAAAATGTATTTTTTAAACTTCAGGGACTATAAGTGCCTGTTTTACATCGTCATGATAAAAAGATCAGCATATGACCAAGAGAACGCACCTTAAACAAAGGATTATTGATGTGTTATTTAGGCCCATGAAGTTGACCAGGGCAAATGCTCTGGATAAGAATTTAACCAGAAAAGTGAGTAGCACCCTAATCAGATGGTACAGGGGGGCTCCAGCATGAGGGGGGAGGCAGGTGATACGGAAAAGGGGGTCACACAGATGAGACTAGCCTCCTTTATCGTGCACCCCCAAAGGACACAGACCTCCAAGAGGCAGGAGCTGTTGCAGGCAGGACCAGGGCAGCAGGCCGGCCCAGGCTAAACTATCTGTCTATGCCACCCACCTGGCTCTGCTTGCTTCTGGGGCAATGTTCTCAACACTGGCTGCTTTCCCAGGTTCCTTGGTCCTGGAAGGATAAGGTCTAGGGCTCTGAATGGACAGGGAAATGTCAGGGGTTTTTTGTTTTGTTTTGTTTTGTTTTGTTTTGTTTTTTTTGAGATGGAGTCTCGCTCTGTCGCCCAGGCTGGAATGCAGTGGCGCAATCTCGGCTCACTGCAAGCTCCGCCTCCCGGGTTCACGCCATTCTCCTACCTCAGCCTCCCGAGTAGCTGGGACTACAGGCGCCCGCCACTGCGCCCGGCTAATTTTTTTTTTTTTCTATTTTTTAGTAGAGACGGGGTTTCACCATGGTCTCGATCTCCTGACCTTGTGATCCGCCCGCCTCGGCCTCCCAAAGTGCTGGGATTACAGGCGTGAGCCACCACGCCCGGCCGTTTTGTTTTGTTTTTTTGAGGTGAAGTCTTGCTCCGTTGTCCAGGCTGGAGTGCAGTAGTGCAATCTCGGCTCCCTGCAACCTCCGCCTCCTGGGTGCAAGCGATTCTCCTTCCACTTCATGAAGCTTTGCAGCCCCCTGCTCCGAACCCGAGGCTTTATCCCACACCCACCATCATTATCTCCAGCCAGCACCTGAGCCATCTTGGCTCTACCATGGGAGGTGGAGGAATGCTGGAAATGCACACAGATTCTCCAAGAGAGGCGGGCCATGGTGCCTGACGGGGTTCTGATGCAGCCACAGCACCCAGATGGGTTTACCTGAGCTTCCTTTACACTCGTGGGCTTGACGATCAGAACCACGGATGGAGAGGCAGAACCAACCAAATGCTTGAAGATGTCCTTGAGAGTGTCAGACATCGCACTTGTCTCAGCCACCGGGTCCTAGTGAAAGAGGAGAAAGTTGACAAATCGACTTTGCAAGCCCACTCCCTGCTCCCAACCTCATGTCTTCGGGTGACTAAAACCATGCAAAGCAGGAAGGAAGGAAATTACCTTCGGATTTTAGCTCTGTCCTTGCAAAAACTGTGGAAAGAAGAGGCCCTGCCCTTGGAAGCAGCCTTCGGACTCAGCTCAAGTTACGAGTGCAGTGCCCTCACCACGGGAAAGAGCGCCTGATCACCAGATACGGCAGAGCATGGAGCGGGTACCTACAGTGTCATTATCCTTGGCTGCATATGCTAAAATCATCCAGCCAAGCAAACCCGCATCTGGGTGGGGCAGGGAAGGCTTCAGGGTTTTTTTAAGCGGCCAGGTGACTCCAGGTGCAGCTCAGGTGGGAGCTCTGCATTCAATCCATCAAAGCCATCCCCCCGCAGGCCCTGCCAAGCCAAAGGGACCATCCACATCCAGACAGGCCCAAGCCAGCCCCAGAAGGGGTGGCTGGGGATAGGGAAGGAGGCCACCAACACCAGCCATGCACTCAGTTCCCCGCCACAGGCTGTCCTAACACACGTGTGTTCTCACGCCAATGGAAGAAGCACAAAAACTTACGGACTGACCTCCCCCAGAGCTTTGGGCTGGATATTAACGGCCATTTCCGGCACACTGATGAAGGACCAGCTAATCTGGAGGTCCTCTCTCTTCTCTTTCATGTGGAACTCCAGCTATTAAAAAACAAGTTATTAGAGGGCTACTCTTTCCACCAAAGCCTTAATGTGCATGTGCGTGTGCATGTGACTGTGTATGTGAACACATGTGCACGTGTATGTGAGCATGTGCATGTGCATGTATGTGAGCATGTGTGCATGTGTGCGTGTATGAGCATGTGTGTGCATGTGTGTGACTGCATGTGAGCATGTGTGCGTGCATATGTGAACATGTGTCCATGTGAGCATGCGAGTGTGTGTGCATGTGAGTGTATGTGTGAGTGTGCATGTGTGTGCATGTATGAGCGTGTGTGCATGTGAGTGTGAGTGTGCATGTGTGAGTGGGTGTGTGGGGATGTGCATGTGTGCGTGTATGGGTGTGTGCACGTGTGAGTGCATGTGTGTGTGTGCGTGTGTGAGTGCATATATGCACATGTGTGAGCATGTGTGTGCATGTGTGAGTGTGCATGTGAGTGGGCGTTGTGTGCATGTGTGTGTATGGGCGTGTGTGTGCATGTGTGAGTGCATGTGAGTGTGCGTGTGTGTGCGTGTGTATTTGAGCGTGTGTGGAAGTGTGCGTGTAAGCATGTATGCCTGTGTGTGCGTGTGTGCATGTGTGCGTGAGTGTGCATGTGTGTATGTATATGCGTACCTGCTCATTTATTCATGTATTTTCATAGAAAACTGCTTAGCTTTCCATTTGGCATACTATGTGCTTTCAAAATGGACAGCAGGACCCCAAACTCCCTTTACCCCCTTCCCTTCCTGCCCCTTCACTGGCCCCAACCTACCCCTCAAAGAGGAACCTCAGCATTGGTTGCCAACAGCTAGATGTCATCAAAGCCCTGCAGTCTATTTAACATAGTTTGCTGTCCTTGCATTTCTTCTTCTGGGAGTGTCCCCAAGGCATAAAGGAGAGAGGAGTGAGAGAAGGGCCCAGGGTACCTCATTCTAATCCTGGGCATGGGCTCCCCTGCCCCACACTCACACAGCCCTGAAGATTGTGCGCCGCACAAAGGTATCTTTACTGTCTCTTGCCGGGGCTGCCACAGCAGCCTCTAACTGGACTCCAATCCCTAAGGACGCCTCATCCCATCCTGTCCATTTGGGAGACAGAACAGTGGCCCCCAAAGATGTCCACACCCTAATCCCTGGAATTTGTGACTGTGGGACCCTACAGGGCACAGACTTGGCAGGTGCAACAGGCGAAGGACCTCAAGATGGGGAGATGATCCTGGGTCCTTCCAAAGAGCCCAGTGGAAACACGTGAGTCCTGAAGAGTGGGGGGGCATGGGAGAAGAGGGGCCAGGGCATATGAAGTGAGGACTGCAGGCATCCCTGCTGGTGTGGAAGTGGAGGAAGGCACCCTGAGCTGAAAAATGGGGTGCCTCAAGGAGCCAGAAATGGCCCTCCACTGACAGCCAACAAGAAAATGGAACTCAGTCCCGTAATCCCATGGAATGAAATTCTACCAAAAACCCCAAAAGCAATGAACAGACTCCCCTGTGACTGCCACTAAGGCAGGCAGCCCTGACAGCCTCTGGATTTGCACCTGTTTTAAACTGTTCACGGTCATTTGTTTCCACAGCCATAGAAAGCTACTATTGCATCCTTTATTCTTCAGCTAGATGTTCCGTCCAAAGCAAAAGTCTCAACTTTGCACATCCCCATCCCTTCCCTGCTCCTAAACAAAAGGGAAGAACGACTTTAGACTATCTGAGTACGTGGACTCTCACCTCAGCTAGAAGCAGGGTAAGAGAAAAAAGATGACTTTTACTTCATAACCGTCTCCAATCTGCCTTCCTTGTCTGGTAATTCTGGAAAAAATTAGGTAATTCTAGGGGAAAAGTACACTTTAATTGTTTTGACACAGACAGCTGAGTCAAGGGAGACCACTCTTGCATCTCTGGTCGGAGGAACGTCAGAGAAGCGGGAACGCCTCCTGCCACCAGCATCAATTACTTACCAATCTCTAGCAGCTGCCTCTGTGCTGAGAGGTAATCCACATACCGGTTTCTAACTGTGTTAGCAGATCAAAGATACAACTGTGTTCCTTCTGTGTGAGTTGCTTAAAATGGCATGAATGCTTTGATATAATAAACACAATGTCAGAAATGACATTTCTTCATTTGTGTTTGTGATCCTCTCTGGACTCAGTCAGTTCCAAAACATGCATCATATGTTGGGTAATATGACCCAGACGTTGAAGGTTATTTTCTAATCACATTGTCCAAATCATCTGGGGGATGCAGGAGAGCATGAACACCTCGCGAATCCATGGTGCCAACCTTTCACCTCTGTGGTTCTCTCAAAGGGGGTGCTGCTGGGGCGGGGCTGAGGAACTGGGAGGGTGGATCTCAGAACAAAGCCATGTAGGTAGCCAGGAAATCTTGTGAGTGCTGGCTATTTAAAACTATGCCTTTGTAGGAAAAGCATACGAGATGTCATCTTCCCTTGCGACTGGGAATTCTGCATGACTTGAGCTCATCCCCCAAATTAGGTGCTAAGTCCAAGGACATGGGAGATGAAACAGGGCATTGAACTGGCAGTGACCCTTGAAACAAGCCCAGACAACTGCAATTTTTAAATACCAGCTAAATAGGAACTCTGGTGACTATCTGGCCGGATGTGAGAGATGCACAAGCTCTCTGATGATTTGGGCATCAAAGTGTCACTGGGCTTACTGTAATTACTAGAGATCTGTAAGTCTCTCTATATAAAATTATACAGATATGTATAATTATATGTATGTATTTATTATTATAAGCCTATTATTAAAACATGGAATGGTGGTAATACTAATGTACCCTAGAACTTAAATAAAAAAATAAAAATAAAAATAGATACTTTCCCAGATTCCAAGTCAAACCTGCTAGCTTTATAAGACACCATTTTCAGGCTTGATCATAAACCAGAGAAAAGGAATGAGAACCCAGGGAAGGAAAGGTGGAATGGAAGAATGAGAAAAGTAGAGAAAGGAATGGCACAAATGCAAAGAAGGCAAAGGAAGAGAGAAAAGAAAAAAAAAGCATCCAGGATATTGACAAAACTGACTCCGGGAATTCTTTGAATGGTGATGGATGCTACAAAGTGCCTCTTTTCATTATGAAATTACTTCCTAGGAACTCATCACCAAAACAATTCAAGCTCAAGTACATATTTTCAAATGAACTATTTTTTTTTGCATCTCTCTATATATTATCTATTTCTCACAACTTATCACTGTAGAATAATGTCTTATTTCCTAATTGTTTCATGTTGATTGATTTTATTTCTCCAGTGAGAATACACATTTGAGCATTTTTTTCTTATGTCCATCATAATGCCCAAAATAATACCTAGTAATGAATAGTATACAGTTATCTGAGTCATTTATATCTAGTTTTGTTCACTTACTCAATTGATAAACATGTTAAGTATTTATAGTGTGCCAAGAGCTAAGGATACAGAGGTGAATATGGTAGACCAGATTTCTAAAAATAATAATAATAATAAGGGGGGGGATTCTTTTTAAATCGACCTTGTCAGAAACTTAAAAGAGGAATGCCCCACCGCCACCGCTCAGCTGTGTTTCCAAGCTGCAACCAGTGCCAGATTCGGAACCAGAACCACTTTTCTCATCTCAGATGCCACCTGCCTTATCACATCCGTCAACAACACCCCGCCTTGTTCAAATGCCCGAAAGAGTCAATCCCTGAGTTTATTATAAATGTATGTGTGCATGTGTAGTGTGTGTGCGTAATGTGTAGTGTCTGTGTATGATCATTTCCTACACATAAAATCCTATATGGAAGCTTACAGTTTGAAAATTATGACATGAATGATAATAAAAACATGACTGTTACAGCCCGTGACTCACACCATGCTCACTCTTCACATTTCTGAGAACTGTGACAGGTCTCATAACTTGCAAAATCTACACATCTTTACCTGTAAATGGAACGGGGAGAGCCGCACGTTGTACAGCCGGCATCCAGCACCTGAGGCAGGCTTCTCGCTGACCAAGAACTGAAGAGCCTGGCCCACCACCTGACAGAGCACCACCTGGAGGAGGCACAGGTAAGGGAGAAAACTGTATCTAAAACAAAGGACAGCGCATACATAGGCATCTTTTTTTTTTTCCTTTTTTTTTTTTTTTTGAGACAAGGTCTTGCTGTGTCGCCCAGGCTGGAGTGCAGTGGTGCGATCTTGGCTCATACCTCCCCAGCTTAGGTGATCTTCCCACCTCAGCCTCCTGAGTACATGGAACTACAGGATTGTGCCCCCACACCCACCTAATTTTTGTATTTTTGTTTTGTAAAGATGGGGTCTACCTAGGCTGGTTTCGAACTCCTGGGCTCAAGCAATCTTCCCACCTAGGCCTCCCAAAGTGCTGGGATTACAGGCATGAGCCACTGCGCTCAGATGCCACAGGCATCTTTTTCCTTTTTGTTTTGAGGCAGAGTCTTACTCTGTCACCCAGGCTGAAGTGCAGTAGAGCAATCTCGGCTCACTGCAACCTCCGCCTCCCTGGTTCAAGCGATTCTTCCACCTCAGCCTCCCAAGTAGCTGGGATTACAGGTGCATACCACCATGGTCAGCTAATTTTTGTATTTTTAGTAGAGACAAAGTTTCACCATGTTGACTAGGCCAGTCTCGAACTCCTGACCTCAGCCTACCCACCTCAGCCTCCCAAAGTGCTAGGATTACAGGCGTGAGCCACCACGCCTGGCCTAGGCATCTTTATATCAAAATAATCTGGACTTTATACGTTAGCAAGGATACAAATTTAGAGTTTCAAAGTTGAATATTCAGATTAACATCTTTTCTATAATGTAGTAGTTTGAAAACTAGAACAATATTTCAAATATTTGCTTCCTGATGACTTTCTTAGGATCTAAAGTCTTGACCAAATCTAGTTATCATGCGCTTTCCACATATAATGCAGTTTTTATCCTTTTTTTTTTGGAGACGGAGTTTGACTCTGTCACCCAGGCTGGAATGGCGCAATCTCAGCTCACTGCAACCTCCCAGGTTCAAGCGATTCTCCTGCCTCAGCCTCCCAATTAACTGGGATTACAGGCGCGTGCCACCACTCCTGGCTAATTTTTTGTATTTTTAGTAGAGACGGGGTTTCACCGTGTTAGCCAGGATGGTCTCGATCTCCTGACCTCGTGATCCACCCGCCTCGGCCTTCCAAAGTGCTGGGATTACAGGCATGAGCCACCGTGCCCGGCCAACAAAGTCTTTTTCTTTAAATATCATCTTATTCTGTTTCTCCACAATAGCTGATTTTTAATTCCCCAAATGTTTCCACATTCACACACAGTCAAAGCCATTAGCCATCTTTTTTGGCTAAAAATGAGTCTTAAAAAGAAAGCAAGTTATAGACGTTAAAAGTAAAAAAGTTTTTTTACATTACCCAGAACACAAGGGGTTGCTTTCACCTAAATAATTTCAACACTATCATGGTTTTCAAAAAGGTGCGAGTCATTGGAAAAACATACAAAGTATCAAACGATTATAAAATTATGCAGCCATACCAAAACTAGAATTATAACATGAGCTCATTCAAGAACCTGTCAGAGAAATATAATAACATCAGGAATAAACCAAACTGTGGCTTCCTGACATAAATCATAAACCATACAGTATGAAGAGGCGTGATTTTCACAGCTACCAGGCACAGAGGGAGATCCAGTTTCTGCCAGATTCCTCCATAGAAGCTGATCTAGAATGAGAGGTCAGACCCCTCCCCGCTCCCCTCCCGGAGGCAGAGGGCCAAGCAGACACGTGTGGGACAATTACCAGGCCAGGTGCCAGGTGTGCACTGGCCGGGAGGGCAGGGGAGGCTGGGGCACACTGGGCTGGACCATAGGGCAGGCACAAGGGGGTTCCATAGGTGGCCAGGGTTTGGCCAAAAAGCAAAGCTACCAGGAGCTAAGGGTAAGTCAGACTGACCTCCTCATTCCCAAAAGAACCACTGACTCCACTGCAGGGAGTCACTGGACAGGAAGAGAAAATTCTTTAATTCTCTGGTGGATTTATCAGAATCTAAAATACTAAATGGAAAGATTATCAAAATAATTACTTGGTCGGGGCCTGCTATTCCCCCAAGTTCAGGGCTAGGACATACTTTCTCATCTGCTGGCTCCTGGCCGCAGCGAAGTCCCGGATCCAGCTCTTCCCACCACTGGCCCACTCCACTCTGGAACAAAAACGGAACCTGGGCATTGAGGCCTTGGCAGGGGTCAACATCCAGTGTCCACAACCAAATACCTCAATGCCACAGAGCTAGAAAAAGAAAATCCCGCCTTCTCTCAACATTGGCAGAAAGTCACACAATTCTTTCTACCGGTTCTTATAACGCCATGTTCAGAAGACTGATTCACATGAGTTAATTACATATTTCCATCATCTCCAGAGTTCACAAAGGGCCAGAACAAAAAAATGTTTGTATAAGAAATGTCGTCTCTTCATGTTAAAAATAAATGATCTATAAACAGTCCTTTTTGGAGGAACATGCTTTGTGGCCAGATGAGTTACACGCACCAATGGCACGACACTGAGAAAATTCCCTGTCCTTGGTCTCAACAGCCCACGCCTTTTACTGCTTAAAGTAAAAAATAAAAAATAAAAATAAATTTTAAAACCCGACACTGACTCTGAGCACTGCATGATTCCTTTGGAACCTTCTCTACTAAGCTAATCAACTTTGTACCAAGAAAACGGACTTAGCGCCTCAACCCAAGCAAGAATGAATTTCATTTCCCTTCGTGTATCCAGTTCTACAGAAAGCTTCCCACCACCCACTCCCTGATACATAGAGAACCAAGCACTTGATTAAAAGCAAGCAAATAAATAAGTAAATAGATAAAAGAACTTTAAAACTTCTAGAATGCAGGACTCCAAAGCTCATAAGTAATCACTCAAGCCCCATCACTAAAGTAGTATAATCTCTACATTCTACTCTAGGACAGAATGTGTGACATCTTTTCATAATGACACCCTGGCATGTCTTCCCCAGCCCTAGGGCTTCCCTACCCTCTCAATAAAACCTGGAGTGCAGACCAAGCCTTTCTTGGCCTCCTCTCAGAGTTCGGCTAGGAAAGTTCATTAAAGAAACAATCTGAGCTGAGTGTGGTAGCTCACGCCTGTAATCTCAGTGCTTTGGGAGGCTAAGGCAGGAGGACTGCTTGAGTCCAGGAGTTCAAGACTAGCCCGGGCAACATAGCAAGACCCCATCTCTTAAAAAAAAATTAGCCAAGCATGGTGGTGTGTACCTGTAGTCCCAGCAACTCAGAAGGGTAAAGTGAGAGGATCACTTGAGCCCAAGGGTTTGAGGCTGCAGTGAGCCATGATTGTGCCATTGCATTCCAGCAGAAAGAAACATTCTGAACCTGCCTCAAATTTTTACATGGCCAAGCAAAATACTGCTCCTGCTGCACTTGGAGGGACAACTATTAGGACCAAATCCTCTTCCAGGGCCAGCCCCTGCCTCTGCCACCCTAACAAATAATGCCCCATTTGCCAAATGGACAGGGACAAAATGGAGAGGAGATTTTAAAAACAAGTAATCTTCTTTTAGCGTATTAAGGTGTTATCCACAATGGGGATTAAATTCTCCCAACCCATGCCAACAGTGGCAAGGCCCCCACGGGCTGAGAGGGGTTCCTCGCATCACAGCAGAAGGCAGGATCACCTGACACAGGTAAGCAGCTCCTCCTCACTAGTTAGCCTTCCTAAGTGGCCAGATGTCAAGGGTTAACATCTACCTAAATACCCACGAGTGGGTAGAGACCCTGATCTTGACCCCAGAGTCTCCCTCCCCCAATCAGCCATGGTCGTGAGAGCCTCTTCTTAACTTTCCAAGTGAGCTCTGCGGGGAATCCCAGTTCTATGGAACTGACAGACTGACCCTAAGTGTTTCCCTCGGAAACAGTCTGCTATTAGTACAGGATTTTAAAAAGTTAAATAGAACAATTATCTAGCATGGGCGGCAGTGACAGTGAACTCCTCTGAGGACGGGAGTGAACCCCCAGCCCCAGGGCAGAACTCCACAGAGCCCAGGTCTGCATCCGCAGGAGGGAGCTCCCTTGACAACAACCAACCATCCCCCAACCTGCATTTTTTGAGAATTTTTTTTCCCCCAAACAAGCAAAGATTATTTACATAAAGCATTTCAAAATCAAGCAACAGAAGGGTGAACTTTGTTTTCCAAATAAACAACTTCCTCTCTGCATAAGTGACAGTGTTTTTCGGAAAGGGGGCTATTGGCGGTAAGTCAGGGTCTCCACGTGGAAAGCCCGAGAGGGGACTCATGGTTGGCAGGTGAGGGTTTGGGTCGGGGAGCCCTGGGCAGCAGCTGGAAGCGCCACGGGGAGGAGAAAGCAAGACTGAAGGCTGAAGAGCAGGCTGAGCGGGGAGGCCTTCACTCACCTTCTCTGCTCTCTCCAGCCTCAACACCTTGACCTCATGTAGTTACATACCTATGCAAATAGCGCTTATCTGGAAACTATTCCTTGGTTTAGACTTGGGGCCAAAACATTCCAGGCACTGTTACTCCAAATTTCTCAACTGTTCACCAACAAGAGAGCCCCTGAGTCTTCAGATCTCACTGTGCTCTTTCACTTTCCTTTTCAATTAAGCTTCTTGTACAGCTTCCTCCACTCCTTCTCTTAGAACACTCTAGAGAACTGGAAATCAGGTAATTACTTTTGTTTCCAAAGGAACTAGCAATGCAGCGGAGAACATGTATCCAGAAGGTTTATATACTTGAATATTTTTCACTGTCATCACACTCTGTGACACCCAAGGAAAGAACTCCCAAGTAAAATGAAGGCAAAGACCCTTCACTAATCAAGGTGAGACCGCAAGCGAGTCTCGTCTCTGTAAATATTCTTTAAGACAGGATGAACTGGATAAAAAACACTATTTCTACTCTGGAACTGGGACTCAATTTAAAAAGTAAACTCCATTAGAGCTAAAGATTATCCCAATATCTACAACATTTAATCCTGTTTGCCCACTAATTCAAAATAAACGGCTAAAGATGTATTTTTATT